TTACCCGTTTCAATAATAGTTTAGTAACCTATGCTCATTAAACATGCGATACTAACGCTGAGGTTGTGGGTTCGCACCCCAGTGACTAATAGTTTTTTCCATGAGCATGATTAACAAGCCTGTGTGGTAAGGACCGCGGGGAAACAGGCACAAAGATAATTCGAGTGAGGCATATAAAGCTGATTACTTACTTGACCTAAATATGGATCAATGAACATGTCCCCATGCTCCCTTGGGCTTAGAACTACCTAGTGTAATATATCAGATTGCAGCAACGTCTTTCCTTAGATCAATCAAATTAGTCATCATTTTTAAAATATTATATTATATTGTGTTTACGCTGTGATGAAAAGCAGATGCGTACTTTAGTTAATACGGTGCAATTAGACTGATTTAGTTTTAATTACCAACAGTTGCTAACTTTGTATAATTAAGTATGTATATTATACACCAAACGTATGAAAGCTGATTCAATCCATCTACTGGTCGTAATGAGATGATTTCTTATATAAACCCTTAATACAATAGAAAGGTCACTAACAGTGTACACTTTGGTATATTAGGTTTGTATAAGTAGACATAAGTTTATTTCCGCAAGCTAAAAATCATTTTCATATGTTTTTATAAATTTATCGGAATTTAAATCGTACAAAGTACCGTTTTCCATTTGTAAAATGTGAGAATGGGGGTCAGGTAGGTTTTATAATCTTCTTTTGGTACCACTCCATTACCTACTGGAGATTGGCCGTCAGTCTCGTGAAGCGTGTCTTGTCCAGATACAGCAACTCTTCTGCAGACGTAATTCCGGTCCACTCCCTAACGTTACAAAGCCAAGGTTTTATAATCAGTGTTTTCGTCTCTTATTGTTTGACGCAGAAAGAGATAATCGGATGTTAGAAGTATTTTATCGTTTATCGTTTTCGGTTAGTAAAATTTAATTAGAGATGAAGCTTCGTTAATGTAGCCTTGAACAGTGCGCCAGTATCAATATGCAATTAATTGGGAATACGAAACCATTTTGTTTATGCGTTACGATGCACAGTTATTATGAGTGAAATGTGAATTTATGCAAGGATTTTGTATTTATGCTTAATACTCGGACTTTGGCAACTATTTATTATTACTTATTTGTAAAATTCAATAATAATTAAGCAATTAATTAACTAGCTAAGTTTTAATTAATACTGGATATATAGTTATGTATTTGTGCTTATCAGTAAAATTTGTGTCTTTTGATGAAACGTTGCAATACTGGTTTTATTAGACATTTGGTAAGTTATGCAATCATTTTTAGAATTGTGTCTTAGTGTTAACACAATTCCTTAAATTAATTTAAATAAAGAGGATAAATTATTGAAAAACAGAATAGTTTCATTGATAAATAAGTATAAACAGTTTTATTGATAAACAGAAATAGTTTCCAAATAGTTAAATCGTGTTTTGTCACGGTTATTAATTTTTAAAGTAAAACGTTAGTGATAAGGACAAACATTAGTTACTGAAGACTTATGATTAACATGACTTGATATTACATAATGTACGCTTATTTTATATATTTCATCTTAATATAGGCAATTCTAGCAATTAGATAACGAGCAAACCCGACACACGTCTTAAAAAAACATTTTATTGAAACTAAACCATTGTCGAATCCACTTGAACAAATACAGTAACGTTCATAAAAATCGGTCCGTTTAAGGGGAGTTTAATTAAAACACGCACATAAGACATATGCATATACAGGGTGGCCAAAAAGTCGTGGATCAAACGCAAATAGGGGATAGATGAGGTCATCAGCGGCAAAAAATTGTTCTACGGGAGGTCTCTAAGGTCAACCCCTGCAGAGTTATATATATTGTATATATATTAATTATTACAAAGGTACATTATGTATATCAAAGACACAAGCTACATATATTTATAACCCTATCATTTAGCAACAATTAATGAATAAGATAACTTTGAGTCTAAGGCCTCTGCCTCACCGCCATGGCCACGTCGCCGGTTACGTAGCCATGGCTACCTCTGGCTTCCTTCGGATGCCAAATGGAGTAGCCAATAGAAGATATTTTCTGGCCAGTCAGTTCTATCGGCTTGTAGAAAATGGACACGAGAAAAAGCTTGTCTTCGTCTTGATTCCCTATCTCACATTTTTCCTTACTCTCAATAGATTTATTAAGAACTGCGATGAACTTAGGGGGCGTCCATAAATTACGTGAGGTGTTTAAGGGGGGGAGGGGGTCGAGTCAAATCTCATTTAATCTTACGTTGGAGAGAGGGGGGTCTCGGCAAATATCACGCAATTTTTTTTCTGATTTAAAAAAAACTTAGGAAAACGGTTGACTCTAAAGGACATATCTGCAACTTCCCGCTAACTCCATACCTAAACGCTCAACATTTCACTTATTTTGTTTTAGTCGTAAATAAAAGCACGAAGCATTTTTTTTTTCTTTTTTCAATAACAATCCAATGCGTTTACGTAAGAAACCCACATTTTGAAAAATCTCACGTGAGATTGGGGGGATGGGGGGAGGGGGTTGAATAAAATCTCATGACATCTCACCAGGGGGGGAGGGAGGTCCAGAAAATTTAAAAAAACACCTCACGTAATTTATGGACGCCCCCTTATCATCTTCAGTGTTTTCTTTTGTTTTCTGCTTCTTTCGACCGTGTACTTGTTTGATTTCTTGTGTGAATTTGGCATCTTGCTTGGCGGACCGTTGGCTACCGAGTGAGTGAGACGCAACTTGCTCGCATACATTTTGTTGGCGACGTCGCCAGGCTGCCAAGTAGCCAGTCTCCACCCAAGTGACCCGTCGTCGTGGCTACGCTTCCAAATTGACGACGTTGCCAAACCGTCGCCAAGTGAGTGAGGTACCATACATGTGAATACTAATTGTTTGGATACGTAGCCGGCGACGTGGCCATGGCGTCCCGGTGAGGCAGGGCACTAATACATTTAACATTTTAAATAAATACTATAAAATAAGGTCAATCAAAAATGTATCAACCATCAAGGATACTCGTGAACTCACATTTAACTATACTTAATAAACCGAGTCTGACTAGAGAAAGTATTTAATAAGATTTTATTTAGATATTTTAATGACAATAAAGTAATTAATAAGATTCTAAGTTACACGGTTGGTTCAGCTGATAAAATAAACAGTAATACTACAGTACTTACGTACGTAGTTGCACAAATGAACGCAAGAATTCACACAATGTTCTGGAGTATTATAGGAAAAAATTTTTTTCATACGTAGTACTATTCTTAAGTACGTATCCGTCCTAAACCTTATTGTAAAAATCAACACTTGCAATACGACGCAGTCTGCGACTGGGGACATACCAATACAGATTCCATATCACTAAACACAATAATATAACCGCTATCGGTCGCGTGCTCATACTCCACGCGACCAATATTATGATTCGCATATAATATTATAATGAAGTCTGCCTTCTCGTTCCCTCTCTTATTTATATTGCTAACTTAGTATTCCCACGGTTGCCGTGAGTGTATGACGCGTCGCGACAAACTCGAACCAAATTATTCGATAAAACTTGGTGACTTAAAGAAATTGTGTAAATTTGTGGGCATGTATTTAACCCGGATCTCAAATTAAGACTTTTTAGTTCAACAATCAGAAGATAACGTGTTGTTATGAGCACATGCATCTTGGCGCATTGCTGTTGTTTACAAAAAATATTTGCTCCAAGCATTAATCGCAAGCTGAATATTGTTAAAATATTTATTACCCATTCATTGGTGCCAAATAATTGCTATGAATTATACAGCTGCTATTTACTTTTAGATTTTAAATAAATTGTGTATTAGAATTATAAATTTAAAATTTTATAAGTACATACATATATATCATGTAGTGTGTTATTAAAACTGTCATTTTAATAAGTTTACGTAAGGGATACAATAATTGTAATAATAAATTTAAATAACAGAATTACTTATTAATATGTATAACAGAATCACTTATTAATGTGTATCTGTATTTGATTTTTCATGGTTTAATGTACTTCAAGAAGTGCAATATTCCTACCTAACAATAATCTTTAGCAAATATTTACAACGCTGTAGAGATATGCAAAGTCCGCTACTATTAGTGTTTGTATTTGAGTAATAAATTCAATATATATTACACAATAATACTTAAGACACAGAAGATATCGAGGTTTTTGATATTCGCTAATCAATTTTATATTACGTTTGAAGGTTACTAAAAAGATTTCAGATAAAAAATATTGTAAAGGTAGTACTATGATTCGACACGATGAATGGAGTGCTAAGTAATGAACCTGTTCCTTTATATGGAAAACGATCTCAATTGGTTAGTCTTAAATGAAAAAGGTCGGCACTTGCATTAGTTAATCGTATAAATCTAATTTTTTACACATCTTTGTTACAAAAATAAAACCATAAGTAATAGAAAAAAACGTATAGACCTCTAACCTTAAACGAAAATAAATGGATAATCTGAGATAGGGCGTGAGTAAAAGAAAATGGCATATAATATATAATATAATCTATAGGGTACTAAACGTTTGGTATTTTTTAAGTTATACTTTCTTTATATTCTATAATACAAACTACAAAAGCATTGGTCGTGAACCGACCCTGATATTTTTTTGTATACTTCGTTGGCCTTCGATTCTTTTAAACGTACCTTTTTTCACTTAAATCGTATCTTTATTGACATACGATTTCTCCGTTACTTCCATAATAGTATACAAGTCACACTTCCGTTTATGGTATGTTTTTTACTAATAGTTGTTCATAATGGTCATAGATTAATAATAAAAGTTCACCTTTTATTTAATCGAAGTACCAATCAATAAATCATTAGCATTTGCATTGCGATTATTTGGCATTGTCTTTTAACTATTATGCTTTTAACTTGATGTTAATTGCCAGAAATATAAAATTATTCATATTATTCAGGAAAAAACTTGTGAAAATGTAAGTGATATCGATAATAAAAATGCGGGCAATAACAAGCTTTTTTAGTAAGAGTCGATCCCGACAGAATTCCGCGTCACTGGATGAAGATGATAATTCCCTCAGTGATGTTTTGAACTATGTTCCGAGGCCGAAAGAAGCACCACCAGAGACGAATTGCCCCAGTAAAGCAATTCCTATTGAACGAAGAAGCTCTTGCAATAGAAGTTATCGTGCAGGGTCGTCGAGGTCCTCTGAGCGTAGGTCCTACGAGCGTTCGATAAGTCCTAAGGATCGATGTAACATTTTCCCTTCCTCGCTTGATGGTCATCAAGACTATAGTTGCGTGCATTATACTCATCATGGAGAAAGCAGACGCAGATATGAGGAGGATACTAAGTACTCAAAAAGTCTTCAGAGTTCCCGCCATGATTACCGATATTTCGTATCGCCTCTTTTCGATGATGTTATGGACGAAGGGCAGGAGAATGAGTTCGATAAATGTGAACAGTACGGTGAAATAAGCTTCAGTCTTAATAACCCTCAAATAAATCAAAAAGAGGGTGCCGATAACAAAAGTTTCTTGAAAAAAGTTACAGAGACAGTAACACGTAAAACTAAAACTGAAAGACGTGGGTCTAGCTCCGGAAGCAGTAGTTACAAAAATTCAATTCATGAATTGATACGAACATTTTCCAAAAAAGTAGGTCACTGGCGCCACGATCGGGGTGAAGGTCGACGGGGGTCATGCGCTGTCCCCACGACCACATATATTGAAGACGTTGAATCCACGAAATACCGATCTCGGTCGAAATCTTTGGATGCTCACTTCATACACAAGCTTCCTGGTCATTCGATTCTAGACGATTGCGGCGCTACATATGCAATATTTGATGAAATCGTAAGAGAAGGTAAAAAAATAATATTTTATAACATATATAATAATTACGGGGTTTAACCTAAAATTTTAACCAAAATTAAACATAGTTCCTTTGGCACATTCTTTCTCTTCTCATTTTGCACATTCTAAAATTCATATAAATTATTATAGTGACGTATATATTATGAGCGTCACTCTTTTATATATGGACCAGTTGGCCTAGCCATTGAATGTAAATGACCTTTGTCTAATTTCCTGCGTTCCAAGTTGTTTGTAAACCTTTAGTATTATCGCGTATTGATAATACAAATAAGCAGGTTATGCAGAATGTATATTTTGATTATTAAAATATCGTCAATTGCATTTAATTTGCGGGTTTTTAGAGATTATTTAACACTTGTATTTAATGTGGGTGAACTAATCTATGCTCTCTTGCTCTGCGGCACGTCTTGTGCTTAAGGTATATGTATGTCTTTTTACATATTAAACTTCATTATATTTTAATTTACTATGGTGCACGAGAACTTAATCACGTCGGTCGGTTATCCGTGTGTAGTTATATTTTAGCTAAAGTAAAATTCATTCGCGCTATATGTATTTGTCTTCAATGCATTAAACGATTTATGTGGCTATTATGATAATTTTAGTTTTACTCTTGAAGAGAGACCTCAGGATGATGGCTTGGGTAGTATATAATTCCAAATGGAACGGACCGATAAACTATTTTTTTTCCATAATATAAAAAAATATTAAATAGGTTAGTTATTCGTAGTTTAATTAGCTAGTATTTAAGCTGCCCGCGATTTTTACAAAGCCTACCTTTTTAGTAGTTACAAACCAATATATAGAACATTTTACCCAATATAGACTTGTTTTAAAACAGTGACTTTTTGTTTTTAAAACCCTTATTGTGGACATAAACTCGGGAAAATGCTTTACTCTACTGTTTATGAATGACTTTATACTGAACAGTGATTAGAATCCACACATTATATATTGTCTTAAACCATTGAATTTAAATTTGGTAACCTTTGTGATTGTTAGTCATTACTTTAAGTTATATTCAAAACATTTCAAAGTCACTCACAAGGTCAAGCAATGACCTACATAATAAATGACAAATTGCGATATCGGTATAAGTATTAAAACAAAAAAAAAACAGTAATATATTTAAGATCTTATGACCGTGCCATACCTAATAGAGGAAATATTGTTTGAGTAAAATTTTGAACAAAACTGCAAAATGTTGAAGTAAAAAAGATTTTAAACTCATCATTTTCGCATAACCTAATATTATCGCCCACTCATTACTGGCGAACCTTTTACATAATCTGGTGTTTTAGGCCTTATTAGTGTTAGCCAGTAACTAAAAACAATCGACTTACGGGTAAACGGGTACTTCCAGAAATGAGCATGCTGTTTTTAAAAAAACCGGCAACGCATTCGCGAGTCCTTTGGCGTTGAGAGTCCTTAACATCATGTGTGCCTGCCCGTTTGCAGAACTGAGGTCTAATAAAAACTTATTTTAAAATACCAACGATTTTTTTCCACACAATAGGTAGATAAATGATATTGTTCATTGAATGCCTGGTCTGTGAGATTAATGCGATCTTTAAATTAAATTAACCCGAATAACTCACGGTTCGCACCATGTCAGTGAGTTAGGCGCTAAATGTCATATGTATGCGAAGAATATAGAGTCCATTCATTAACATTGAATTATAGAAGTGAAATATAAATACTTTGAGGAGTAAGTTTCGAATTGTAATATTTATGAAATATTGCATAATTTTTATTTTGTAAATTGCACTGATACTTTTCGTCGGATACATATTTTGCAATTTGCGAATTTTGCACAATTTGCTACTATTTGGTTATTTTAAATTATTTTTTTTAATGAAAACTATATATATTTTTTGTCCCGTTTATTCAAGAACAAAGATAGAAACTCAAATGCTGGCTTAAAGTACGTTTATAAATAGTATTATATAATAGAATTTATTTTATCAATTCATCTCGCTTTTATTAAGGGTTTACTTAATAAAAATCATAAATACCCGAGGTATTATTCCAAACAATAATGGTGCTTCAAATAACGTCAAAGATAAATCATTAAAGTCTACATCATTATTAATTATTAACCAAGGTATATAACATATTTATTATAACTATAACCAGACTTAGTGCTAATCTTGACTCTGAATTAATTCTTATTCTTCTCGAAATCGGAATACATACTTAGCGATCGGAAAGACCTATAATGATTTCAATGTCTGTTAAGTAAAAAGCCTAATCATAAATTATTTATCAATGTAAATGTGAACAGTATGAGTATATATTGGCTCTTACTAGAATCTAGTTTTCATTCAATTCATAAGGTCTGTTGAATTTATTAGACAGCTACAACTACGGTATTATGACACTCAAAGAAATTTTGTTTTAACTCATTCTATACATAATTGGAACCCTATTGTTAGAAAATTAACTATGAATAAACCGCAGGTATAAAGAAAATTTTGTTTTTTATTTGAATAGAAAACAAACAATGAAAAATTATATAGGTAATCTGGAAAGTTTTTCTATATACGAAGACATTCTTGGAGTCTTCATCTCGTAGTGATTTTGTAATGTAGCTCAGGTGTAAGATTCAATGTTCAAGAGGCTAAATGGGTTTAACTAAAATATCTTACTAGAGCTTTTTTACATATTATCGTTATTGATTTTAGTTTTCTTTTTCAGGTCATTTACGAAGGACCACTTCGCAAGAAGCAGAAAAGCGTCGGTCGTCACTAGGCAACGTACCTCCGGCGAGACATCGAGCGTCAGATGCTTCATTGGATCCACATCACGCTGCCATATTATTCCGTAATGCCAGAGGAGTAAGTCAGTTAATAGCTACACTAGAATTTTTAATTTTAAACTTATCGATTATGTATTGATAATAATATGGAATTCATATTATTATCTTTACATTATTCACAAGTTTTCACGTCCATAATATTTTCAGGAAATTAAAGAGATGATCAGAACAGATGCAATCTTAGTTAATCCTGAAGAAACTTAACTTATAGTTTGTAAGATTTGCGCAGAGTGAGGATTCTATCAATTTATAACACATTATAAATTCCATAACTAAGTATAAAGTAAAAATAAAAATCTTGGTTTATATTATTACCTATATTATATTATAATTACATATTAAAATGTTATAGGACTGATATTATACTATGTTTTGAGTTTCTAATCAAGAATAATCAAAATTGCTTGCTATTTGTAGTTCTTATAAATTTTTCTTAATTTTTTTGTTAATTTTTCTTATAAATTTTTTCGACCTAATTTCGATTGGTTTAACAAAATCAAATAATAGTAAATTCCATTTAATATCTTACAATTTAGAAATAATTTATATTCAAACTTCACCGTTTCTGTGAGATATCCTCTCCTTTTAGAATCGTCGTTTCATATTCGCAGTACTAGGAACTCCTTATCTTCATCTATTGTTTCTTACAAATATAACATGCACCTCTTCAAGTAAAGAGGAAATGTGCAACCACCTTAGACTCAATCAAGAATCAAATCTGTTTCTGTAACATGATAAAACATTCATTAAACTTCGAGACTGCGTTGCTGATAACAGTTTTACATTTCAGCTGCCAGTGGTGGATCCCTTCATACAGAAAGCTAACTTGTCTGATCTTGGTAAGTTTTTTAATTTACTCAATATTTTAGTTAAAATAAAGAGAAAGAGAGAAACGGTCCGGTTTAGATGTGTTTTAGTTTTTTTATCCTAAATCTAAGGCGAAGTAGACAAGAAGCTAAGTTAGGTTTAATTTATGTTTGCAGGTTAAAATGTGGAACATATGCAATAGCATTACCAAAAGCAATAAAAAATATTTTTTATAAATGTGTCTTTACTAAGACCTCATGGAATATTACGATTTAGCCTAACTTAAGACTAATAAGTAATTAAAGTCTAACCTAATTTACTAAAACGGATATTTAACATAAGAAAGTGTCCAATAACACTACTTACAGTCTCTATTAAAGGGTAGACACTATGTTCTATGTTTACACTCACTGTTTAGCACTTAATACTAAAGTGCACTAACACTAATTCACTAGTTCAAATAACAAAACAGTTAACGTTTTAATCGTTTCTTTAAAAATTATCATTGTGCGATCGGTCGTTAAAATTTATGATGTTTATAGATAGTATATCATTTTAGCTTTTTATATTACGAATTTGGACGTATAGATAGTGTTGCAATATGAAGTATATAGTGAAAGGAGATCAAACGTGGATTCGGTGCACGAAGAGTTTAATATTTGCAAAAGGTTCGGTTATTCTATTAAACTATCTGATAATTTAAAAACCTCCGTTAGAGATTTCAGTTTTTAAAAAAAATATTCCTGTTATTCCCGGTGACACGAGGGGAGGGACTAACGGTGATTATAATAGAGGTATGGTGAAAAGGTTTTGTTTCATCGAGATTATCGAACCCTCACACCTGGCCCACAACATCTATATTTTAATTAACGTACTGCCCCAGTTAATGGAGTTTATAATTAGTTTGAATTTGCGCCGTTGACAGTGAATTCACGTTAATTTTGGATCTGGTGCGGATTATATTTAGCGTCGATATGGTATAGGAGTTGTGTGATGCGGATATGTTGTAGTCGCGTCTCCCCGGTAAAGCGAGGTGGGCGTAGGCCGAGTTGGGGCAGAACGCCAACGAGTGTGTCAAGTAGTGTGCGGGTGCGCGGGCGCCGTTTGGTGTATAATTAGCAGTGAGCCGTAGGAGGCGCAGCGGGCCGCACCGAGTGGCGGCGGGCGATGCATGCTGCGCCTACACTACTTCTCGGACCACCCAGCCCTCGCCGTAGACGACGGCGAAGAGACCGTCTACTCTATAGAGCTCATCAAGGAGTTCGAAGCGGTCGGCCGCGCGTGGAAAGCGTTTCTCGCTGATTGGCTAGAAAAAGGTGTCGGTTTGTTTATGTCACCCACGCCGTTTGCGCCCCTTGTTTTGGAAGCCGTCATTTGATTGTTTTTGTATCAGTGTTGCGTCGTAATAACAAACGTTATAGGGGGACGTCTTGGTGCTTATTTTTTGTTTCTGTGCGTCGTTTAAGTGTGTTTAATTCAAAGTGATATATTGAGACTCACGACATGTTTTATTGGTTAATCATAGTAGTTGCGGTGGCGCTGCTGAAATATTTTTCTATCAAATCTATAAATAATTTTAGCTTCAGCGTTAAGTCTCCTATATATTTATGATCTATAGTTGAGCTTACGTCACGAGGTTCCCTGTGACGTCACCGAATGACCTCAAAACCGTGCGCATTGCCAGCTGCTAAACATAAATAAACAACCGGTATCTTCACACGTGTAGTTTTTAATTAGTGAACGGCTAGACTTGAAATATATTTTGATACTTAGAGAATAATTTTTTTTTAAAGTAAGAAAAATACATAAAATTAAAAGCGAAAAAATAAGACGAAGAACAAAAGTTATAGATGCCTTACATTATGCTCTAAAACAGAAGTGGCAATGGGCGGGGCATATAGCAAGATACACCGATAATAGGTGGACTTTAAAGACAACAGTATGGAAAGGACCAAGAGGAAGAAGGAATAGCAGCGATAGCAGGAAACGAATGGAGACAGAGAGTCATAGACAGACTCAGTTGGAAAAAGTGGAGGAGGCCTTTACCCGTGAAGGGGTTCCGGTCGACGGTACTGAAGGAAGCTAGGATATAGGATAACAAGCAAAAGAATTTTTTTTAATAAAAATGTAAAATTATCTAAGTTGTGTATTATAATTTGTTTTTGTCATGATAGGAAGTAAAACAGGCTTTATTATTGTTATTATTACTATATATATATAGAATTAAGTGCCAACTCTTTGGAAAAATATTATTAAAATATTAGGTCCTTACGTAATCAATTTGCGGTTTATACCCATACGGGAGGAACATTTTTTTTTAAATGGAATATATTTAAATAATCAAAGTATATACCATTGCTATCTATGCACTTTTGCCATATTATAGGTAGTCCATTAATCCCTTTACTAAAAAAAACCATTCGGGCGGGAATCAATAAAATCTTTGAGGTGGTTTCGACTTTGAAAGCGAACTAGAACCCATCAGAGTTGAATTTCTTTACCTTGCAAGAAGTTATACAAATTTCAAAAAATTCTTCTCTTATTTGGTAGCAGTCTGTTGTGTAGTGTGTGGTCTAGCGTTGTCGTGAGCAGCATTGGCCAAGAGCGATTGACCAGCCTTACGTTTTTAGCAGCTAGTAAATAGCTGTGAATTTGGAGTTACTGACCAAAGAGGAGATATTTGAGGTCAAAGTAGCCAGTACGACAAAACGTCAATTTCATATGTATAGCCCTAATATATTATTGAAATGTTTGATAAGAGTGACAGAGACAATGGTTGTGTAAACAAGGGTTGATTATGGTCAAATCGTAAAGACTGCTTGTTACAGTTTTATAGTATCTTCGTGGTAATTTAATATTTTATTGCTCATATCTGTAACTTTTGACGGATATTAAGAATAAGGTGAGGTTTAGTGGATTGCGACAGGAGATACAGCCCCGGGGCCTCCACAAAAGAAGTTCCCCACAATATTTGATATTTCACTGTTTAACCTTTATCTACGTACAGTATTTTGTTTAAACATTATTATATTGTTTAACATAAATCATTCATCAATGATCAAAACCAACTGGATATTTTTTCATTTACATGAGGTAACATGGGAGTATCCACTCCGATCGATGCCTCCACCTCTGAATCAAGCCTATTATGTTAACCCGCCATTAAAATAACCGAAAATATAACCTTTTTTTTTAACCTGAATACCTAAAATGTCTAAATCAAGCAATTCCCATATTAAATCTTATTCGTCATAATTATTACATATAATACAACCATACATTATACATTCTGTACATTGACTTTTGCCCTAAATCTGTTGATCTGAAAAATAAAAACATTTGTTTTCGAACAGTTGGTTCCCTTTAGAGTCTACAAAACTTAACAAATTGTTTTTATTTTTCCTTGTGCACACGGCAAAAAGTTGTGAATTTATTATGTAATGTAGGTAAGGTAGCAAGCATCGAAAGAGAATCTTGGTAGAGACAGCTTCAACATTCGTGAAAGTGCATTTTAAATTATTTATAAATAATAAAATAAAACATATCGTAATGGTGGCCTCTGAGTAAAGGCCTGGAACCTTGTAAAAGTTTCCTGAACAGCAAATACGTGTTCACAGGACTAAACAAATGCTTAAATATATACATTGCGAATAATTAGATTATATAATGTGGAATTTCTTTTGCAGAAGAGGACGAGTCGCAGATATTCGTTAAATTTTTCAAATTCCACAAATGCTACGATCTCATCCCGACATCGGCTAAGCTGGTGGTCTTCGACACACAATTGCTCGTCAAGAAGGCATTTTTTGCACTTGTGTATAACGGTGAGTTAAATAAAAAGATCCACGGTAAAATCAAGGCATTGTAATTGTGTTTTTTTTATTATGGAGCAAAGCTATTTGATAATAGTGTTTGTTATCAAAGTTGTGTGTGATTAGTTTGTGATAAACCAATTGAGGATTTTGTAAATATTCAGTGTACTGCATCAAACTTGGCAATTACTTAGTAACTTGATTAGTATAGCCAATCTATTACTACACGTATTATGTGTATAATGGTATATTAATAAACTCATTTTATAAGACACGTCAAATACCTGATTAATGCTGTCAGCTCACATTATTTACATAAAATATGCAATCACCATAGTAATACTTGTTGCACACTACAGTGCATGCACATTTTATTTCATACTACCTTTGCGAAGCTATTCATTCATAACGACTTTACTGCGCGAAGTTTATAAAATTAGCTATATGCGATTTTAAGCTGAGCGATTTTACAAATGAAAGTAACAATATTGTATTTTAATACAGGGCCCTCGAAACAATAACTACTGTGCTGACTAACAAGGTGTTTATCGTTCCTTTGATCTAAGTATTTCTAATGTAATACCTATTGTAAGACGTTCAATTTCTTATCTTAAGCTACTGACCGATAAGAGATTTCGTTATTATAGTCAAGGCCAACAAAAATGTACACTATTAATTTATTTTATACATACTTATTGCACACTCAGCCCCTTTCAATCCGTTGAGATGAAATTAAAAGAAATACATGTGATTTTCTACCTTGATAAATCAAATCACCAGAAAAGTTAAATAAACGTTAGGTATATTATAATTTAGTTATAAATAACTTTTTAAATGTTAATCTCCAATGACTTATTGCAAACATTTCTATATTATTGTTTCTTGCGGGGGATAATTTTTTTTCATATCATACAGTAATTTTTCCTCATTAACTTTTTAGTCCGGACAATGTCATAATAATGTATACTATGTTAAATAAATATTAAGAACACTTACTTACAGGGTATTTTATAAATTTTAATAATTAAAGACATAATTAATTATAATCCATAATTAAATTCAAAATTATATACTAAACCTTGGGGTGGAATAAAAAACGTCGTATTTTTGTGTCAATGACACTAATTCTCAGAAGCTGAGCCTTAGCTTTATAACATTCTTATCAAAAAAAAATCAAAATTCAATGCGTTATTTAACATAAGGATTCCTATTTAGTAAAGGTCTCGACTCTGTATTTTACCCTAAGTTCCCATTTGTGTCGGTAAAAGACATCTTATTTTCGTTGACTTTAAACTGATTAATAAATAGTTTTGCCAATGTGAAAGTGTTTCACAAAATAATTGCTATGGTTTTCGTAATATAGCAATATCCTTAAATTATTAAATTCATTTTAAAAATCATATAACAAATATATTTTGAAAATCTCGAATCTACAATTATATTGTCGATTCAATAAACAACTGCCCAACTATTACATTAACACTGAAAATCGTGGTATATTTATTAGTTAACGCAAACATATGTAAATAGTAACTAAAACATAGCTAATTAGATACGTTAGCACTCGGTTGCGTAATTCAATGTGTTAAGGATCACATTTTGTTATTTGTAAAGTTTTATAGAAAATTAAATTTTCAATTGTTTTTTTATGAATTACAATGGATTGTGAATATATGTGTAGTTTAAATATGAAAATTTGTTATTAACAAGTTTATATTCCTGTACATACAGGAATATACAATGGACATACTCTCAGGAATAGATTTTAAGACATGTTACATGTATATTATATGTAAAACTCATAAAGCTTTGAGATGAAATAATTCTTATATTATCCGTCACTTAAGTCACTTTACAATTAAACTAGTTCACCATAATCCAAGAAGCCAAATTGTCTCTCTTTCCTGTTTTCTTAAATAAGTTGTAAAATATTCGGGTATATTTTATTCTACCGAGTGTTGTCTATAAATTCCGATAAACGCTTTCACTTCATTTTTATGCATCGATAAAATAGTAAGATTTACTTGTTATAAATAAGGATTATATGTAATACTAGCCGGCCCGGCGAATCTTGTTCTGCTTTACAGATTTTATGATTTTAAAATTAATTCAAAATTAATAGGCTTAATTTTTTATTTGGATAATTATTTTAAAAATCAAGTGTTTTAATGACTTAGCAGTTAGATATATGATTTATTGCGATTTATTTTGATGAATTGGTCACCCTTCAGTGAAGCACCTTGTAATGTAGCTTCGACGTTTATCGTTTTGTTATCGGCGTAATAACAAATAAAGCAGATGGCTTTCCTTCCCTTATGTTTTTGAAAGAAACATTTCTATTTGGACGATGACAATTGCAAAAACTTAATGTTGGTCCAGTTCTTGAGCTATAAATGGTGTAACTAACACAACTTTGTTTTATATATAGATTTAGTCACCTACATTACTAATTTGGTCACACTTATATTCAATAAAAGGTATGAAGCCCGAGGCAAAGCTTCGGTTTGAAAAAGTACACAGTTTTTATTTATTGTTATATGCAAAAATGTTCTACTATAACCATTTACTCGGCATAGAACTACAATGAATTTTCTATAAAGTCTAATTGCTATGTGGTCATAAAATAAAGTCTACCCCTTCGTTCGTACCCACATATAAACCGGGAGATTAATATTTTCCCTCTACCTTGTGGGATGTGCATACGCTATTTACATCTGAAGCGCTTGATGTAGAAGTATTTCTGTGTTACTGATTTATTTTTAATTTTTAAAAAACCTCTACAAAAATTATTATTTCATAACTTTTTATTTTTAGCATCTAACCTTGACAATCCAAAAGGTTCAGAGGTTCGAATAACTCTCTATTAACCCTCTACTATAACTATTCATACACCGTTTACCTTGTGATATGTATAGCCCGTGATCGCCTATTTAGGAAAACAACCGACCAATTATCTACTCCATCAATCACCAGAATACACTTCAAATCAGTCCGATGTTGATAACAACTGTTTAAGCGAGTGTTATAATTTTGTCCCCAGGTGTCCGTGCCGCCCCGTTATGGGATTCCCAAAGACAAGAGTATGTGGGTATGCTCACAATAACGGACTTTATAAAGATCCTGCAAATGTACTACACCAGTGCAGACGTCGCTATGGACGAGCTGGAAGAACATCGACTTGAGACCTGGAGACGTAAGTTTTAAATTCAAGTGCTATTTACAAGTGTTTGTGCTTAGAGCATCGTTGGCTTAGTGATCGTGAGTGTGCGATCGAATTAAGCTTGTGCACAAATAAATGGACTTATATTTCCATGTGGACTCACTCGTAGGGTGAAGGAAAACTTCGTGAGGGAACCGGCATGCTCTTTGATCTAAACATCAATGGGGTGTGTCACGAATTTCTCTTATCTCTCGTTTTCAACCTGCACACATGCCCCGCCCATTTCCATATCAGTTGCCTAGCATATTGTTCACGTCTTTAACTCTTGTTTCCATAGTTTAGTCAGCAGTCCATCTTATTACAGACTTTTAACTCGAATACCCATTCGAATCTATCTAATGGTTTACGTGAAGAGACAAATTAATTCTTTAAAACGGTGTTTTGGAACCGTGGTATTAGACAAATTGACTTATTTTTAATTAGGATGTAATTCCAATAAATAGTTTATGTTTAATTGAAGCTGGAATATTCGAAATATAAAATTTTTATTTTATATTAATTTAATCGTGCTATTTTTGTAGATGATATGTAAATAGTTCTTGGAATAAATATGTTTACTTAGTAATATATCTGGAGTATGAAATACAGAAAAACGCTAGAAATGCATCCTAATACGCTTGCCACGCAACACCATTTTAAGGATATATATTTTCATCATACACAGTAATATAGATATTAAAAAATACGGTCAAATGAAATCGGCGTCTGCTACCAATGAATACTAGATACATAGCTTTTATATTTTTAGAATAAAAACCTTATATACTATTATCCTAAAAATATCCATATCTTTTCTATCGGATTCATTGTTGTTCGAATGATATACCTCTCAGATCTTTACAGACTGGTTGTATTGTTGAGGTATTTTTCTGTAATAACATTTTATACAAATCCAGGAATAGCCGATATTCTAAAGCTTCTTATTACATAATTCTCCGTACAGCGAGTCTTTGATACTGAGTTCTTGTTAGTGACTTAACAATATTTTTCCACTTCAAAAAATAACAACATTTTGCCATTATTATCCTTATTTTGAAAAATTTTTTGTATTTTGTACGTCCTATTGCGTGGTGGGCGTGGTGCAATGGGTTGTCCAAGGCATAAAAAACAGACACTGTACACATTACAAATGAATAATTAGGCAACGGGCGGCCCTGATCGCTTTCTAGCTATCTAATTCACCCACAACTATTTTAAGGCAAAATAAATTATGATAAGCGCAAAATATGCAATAGCCTAAACATACAGAAAAAATATAGACAATGTAAAATAAATCGCGACTGGGGTACGTATTTTTTTGGGGTAATACGGTGATTTACTATCATTATAAAAAGTTTAACTACATCAGCATTTTTGTTTTGCTTGTACAGTTATGTAGGATACCTAATGTATGCATACTTTATGAATAATTAATGAGTTTATAATATCGTACATATGAGCTCTATCTCGGCTATTCATGGAAGACCAAAATTTACTCAGATTATGCGTATGCATATTCACTATGCACGCTCGTCCTTCTATGACTATTTTTGACTTGGGGATTCTCTAGGTCCTACTGGTCCAGGTATATACCACAAGACCTACGCGACCCGACCTCACCGTCCACGGTTGCCATGTATAATCCTACTCGTAAACCGCTTCTCATTTATATTTTCTACATGGCCAAACCACCTAAACATTCCTTTTCGTATCCTTGTCACTACGTTTTCTTTTATCCCACACTACTCAGGTATCTCCCTATTGCTTATTCTATCACGCAATGTTACACCGCACATCCATCTTAACGCTCTAATTTCAACGCATTTTTTTTTACTTACATTTATTCTATGCCAGACTCAACATTCACTACCGTACCGTTACCAGTCGAGCCTTATTTATTACTAGGCTACACATTATTTACAACAACACCATTTGGTTAGGAAGTATCTTAAGTAAAGTATTTCGATATACATTTTACATTACTAATAACGAAGAGTAACATAAATGTGTTAAATATTTTTTAATTACGCTTTATGATGGGTGTCTGAAGAAAGTTATCTTACACGCGATTAGATGTGTTTAAGAAATATTTTTATTAAATTATGGAACAATTCAAGATAGAAACAGAATTCCATGTCGGTTTCATTAGTAGGTACACTTCGAGTGTTATTGCATTATGGCAAATAATGTTTTCCTTATAGTAGGTATTTAAATTGTAAGCTAGTGCAGAGCGATGACCGCGGATGTTAATTAGGTGACGATTCAACTGTTTAATTATTCTTATTTGGCATATTACATAATTATTTACGTGTGGAAAAATAATAGCTAATTTAATGCGTTTCGCAATAAGTGATTGCTTCATAAGTTTCAATTTCATAGTTATAAAAAAATAAAAGTTTATTTACGGTGCTATTTTTAAATATCCGAAACAATCGCAGAATTATTTGTTCTCTTATTATAAATAATTATAAAGGCATTGTATCTAAATAAATAAAGCCCGAGATAGTAGTTTATTCCACCGGAGTGAGAAATTTTTTATAAAAAAAGACGTAAGACTTAGTTAAGATTACATAATTTATCCTTTACAAAAATCCCAATTACATAGCATTATGTGCATCATTTTTAAGTTACAATTGTGGGAATTATTCTACAATTACATATTATTTAAAAGTATTGGTTATGTGTTTAAAGTTTTTTCTTTAATTACATAACCAATACTATTATTTTAACTATTATTTTCGAGAAGGTTAAAATTTATTGTGTGGTCTTTGTAGTTTAAATTTAAACTTAAAACCATTTTTCTACTTTTTTACAACGCGGGTGCGCGATTATTTTGTATTCCCAAAAATGCTTACATACTCGAAAGAATACTTTCAAATGAGTCATCCTGAAAATAAATGAAGTTTTGCAAAGGTTTTAGAACTATCGCTATACAAACATATGAATCCAATTGACATAATAAGAAAGGCACTATTGAAATTCAATATGTAATATGAACATGTTTTTATACTCGTAAATACCCATAGTTGTACGCTGTTTTCAACGTCAATATATAGTCGATATATTTTCAATTCAATCGTAATTGGTGAAGCTACAAATAGTGTTCTCGATATCGGTCCGAATTTTAATAGTGGATTCAAATAAAAATAACGATATTGAAATTCAATGCCAATATCCTAATTATATATACAATCAATAAAAAGTTATTTTCGATTAAGTGCGCTGAGCTTAAACGAGAACCGAGAGAGAACCGTCATCTCCAACTTCGACGTAATTTAAGCCGTCTTCATTTGTCGTTAAGATCATCGACTGTTTTTTCTGGATTTTGATATATACAAGGGGTAGTAATAATCGAATTGCTTAATCATGGAGCCACTATTTCGGGGAGTTGGTACGCAGAACAAATAACAAATATGAATGAGAAAACAACGGCGTGGCAAACTCGCCAAAGATGTATTTTTTTATCAAGATAACGCCAAAGGTACGATGACTGCAATACAAGAAGCTGGCTTCGAATTGCTGGAATCTCTGTATTAAATTCGAAAAATGATATTTTGTATATCTTATGTGTATCATTAAGTGAATGAACCTGAAAACTCAAAAATAATATTAATTGCGTCATACTCATCACTTTTTACTGAACACACCTAGTATTTTATGATAATTGATTTTTGTACAAAGGTTTACAATTAAATACAAATTATTAATACGAAGTTAATAATATGCAGTGAAGTAGTGCATATATCATGTGGCCACAGTTTTAAATTTTGGACTTATAATTGTTTCGGTTTGGAAGGGACTGTAGTTTGGCTTTAAAAAAACAGTTGCGCAACAACCCTTTGTTTTGGCTTTAAATTTCGGTATCCGTTTCGTAATATATTTTATATTATTAGGTAAGTGAGCCTTTTGTGCCTAAAATAATGTTCCAAAAGGAATGTGATTCATTTAAAGTAACCCTCAGATACGACGCCCGTATATCACAATGTCTGTACTTAGCGCTAAATCTCGACTTTGAATCTTCTCTAGTAGCAGCTGAGCTCAACTATACAAGCTGTGATGCTGTATTAATAATAAACTTGTTGCGGTGCACCTGTAACTAGATCGATGCAATATCGATTAAAAAAGCGCTCTTATTATTATATTTATTTTTAACTTTTTTATTATCTTCCGATAATTTTTCAGAGGTACTTAAGGGATCGGTAGTGCCGCTCGTATCGATTGGGCCTGATTCTTCCTTGTACGAAGCCATTAGGATACTGATCACCAACAGGATTCATCGATTGCCCGTCATTGACCCAGAGACTGGCAATGTACTCTACATACTCACACACAAGAGAATACTTAGGTTTCTCTTTTTATATGTAAGTAGTCAGAATTATATTCAATTAATAATTTAATTTTGATAACAGTTATATGGGGCTTTTCTATAATAATAGCGATGTGTTTTAAAAAGAAGATACTTTAACATTACAAGAATTTAGGAGAACCCTAATATCAGGTTTGTAGGATCGGAAACCTATTCAATTTTTCTGTATTAAGTCGTAAAATTGTTAAATTGGAATATTATAAATTTTCTTTAGATTGCAAACTATTGTCTTTTTTATAAGTAGCTACGGTGTTACGCTACCTACGTAAGGTGTTATTAGATGCTTTAAGTTAGTCGCTGACCTAATAATATATTTAAAGCTGTGTGTTATGACGTGACTAACAACCACAATTTTTATCCATTTTAGGGTAACATAAATTATTATATTATGTATGAACAAAATAGATATTAGTACTTTAGCTAATATCTGTTCGTTTCAACTAATAATTTAAATATTAATTACAAAAAAACACATTAAAAAAACGCAGAATTCCAGTACTTACATTATCGAAAACAATTTCAGATAAATGAATTGCCAAAACCCAAATATTTACAAAATAAGCTACGAGACCTGAAAATTGGAACGCTTAATAATATTGAAACAGCCACAGAGGATACTTCTATTATTGAAGCCTTAAGGAAATTCGTCAACCGTCGAGTTTCAGCATTACCCATTATTGATACTGAGGGCCGGCTGAAAGATATCTATGCCAAGTTTGATGTCATTGTAAGTATTTTTTTATAATTTGTTTACAAAAGGCTCTACTGACATTAAGTGATAAACAAATGGACACTCTCAATGCAGGGCTCGCGAGTGTGTGTTATAAATATAATATTAACTGCAAAGGGTTGATTGTTACGGCGTATCATAATATTATCGTGAACCCAGAAATTCTGGAGATGTAGAAGTATTCTTATGTTAGAAAAGTTGTCGTTTTGTGGAGGAGTCTTGGATTAGTGGGCTCTTAAGAAAAAAAGTTGTGCGTTTAAATTTACAATTTATAATTATATTTTAGTCAAATGGTGAGAGTATCGTAAGGAAACCGGCATATGCTTGGTCATAAAATTGACGACTAGTGTTGGGACTAACGTGTCTGTAGAAGATCATAATAATAGTACTACATAGTACATGCAATTTGAGACTATATAGCGTTATAGCTCTGGATTATAATTTTAATAGTAGTTTTTAATTATCTTTGCGACCGTATATAATTTACAAGGCTCTGGAGTCTTCCCAAAATCTCTATATATATTTACTTTCTCATATGTATACCATGCTAAATACAGCAGTTTCTCCATTGAGCCTCAAACATAATTCTAATACAGTGCACTATATAATGTTCCCTGTAAGACACCAGGCCAAATGACAAATGTTCTCTAACTTAAAGTTTCTTATCGTTTGATTTTGTTATAGAACTTGGCTGCTGAGAAAACGTATAATAATCTGGATGTGACGTTAAAAAAAGCAAATGAACATCGCAACGAGTGGTTTGAAGGAGTACAAAAGTGTAATCTGGACGAGACCCTCTATGAGGTCATGGAAAGGATTGTTCGTGCAGAGGTAATTTAAAGAGAAAAAGAAATTTCACATGTTACTTCTCTGTTATATTACGGTTTTGCGTTTGTTCTATAATTTTCCTTGGTAACGTATATTACAGATGTTAGCCAATGATAGTCAAACGACCGTTTTGTCTTTTGTTTTACTTTTGTGATGTTTTTAAGATTAAACGTGCAAGATAACATCATATGCACATAACATTTTGTATATCGCGTTTTTAGTCATCCTTGTGACAAGGCCTTCTGTGTCCATAAATAAAAGAAATACATTTCGCCGGTATTCAAACCTAACCTAATGCGTTAGTGCAAATAAACCACTGATGTCATTGAAAAACAATAAATCTTTTTTTAAACGAATACAATAAAATAAATAAATGTTAATAAAATACTTAAACCGCTGCAACTAGACTATTTTTTATGAATACGAGAGTTGAAGAAAGTTTATGTAGAGTTAACAACTTAATTCTAAGCCATTGCCTTACTAGGGAAAGCTTAAAACTTTTAGCATACATGGCCGCCCATACCAGTGACACAATCAGATTTCGAGTCATAACCCACTAACGCCAAAATAATTTATATGAAAATGGTCACGTGAGCGTGATTTAAAAGTTATTGCCATACAGATTTGTTTAGCGTTATTGGGTCACGCTTGTCGAAAAGTGATTTTGTTTTAAAGCCCCAGGTTGGCCCATTCCAGGGTCACCTCCGATTCCAAATCGGCTGGACACAATAGAATTAATAATGAATCCCAGCTCCCCCTAATAATTTCATTACATTCTAGGTAGAACTAAGAAAATTACGTAGACCCAATACTACGTCCTAAACATATTCAGATCCTGATCCTTATGAAATTTACAGGTGCATCGTCTGGTCGTGGTAAACGAAGAAGACAAAGTAACAGGCATCATATCACTATCCGATCTCCTGATGTACCTCGTCCTACGTCCGACTGGCGAATGCGAGGGCGCCAGCCTACGTAACGAACACGGTCCGATCGTAGAAAAGGATGAAACTACAGATTCTATATCGGTAGAGAATGACAAAACCATACAAGAAGATGAATTGGAAGGAGCCGTTGGCGGTGAAACATTGGAGGACAGTTAATTTGTAAATTTATAATACAAAAATTATTTCTATCGCTACCAAACCAATATTTCGATTTATACTTGTTCTACAGAATTATATTTATAGAAATTACAAGAAGTAGAATATATCAGTGATTTGTCAATTTTCGAGATAATTAAAATAATATTAAAAACAATTACTATCGAATCAATTAGCGATAGCAACATTAAAAGATATTAATCAAATTGTCTAAAATTAACTGTACTTATAAATTACCAAATGACAATGGCACTAACGCCCATTATAAAAAGGTGGACTATGGAAAATTTATCGTAACCATAGTTTCAAATACATAAGACCACGTTTTATTTTAAGGTCTCAAATGGTTCCCTTTTCTGAAGACATCTTTAAAATCCAACACACACATTTCTTTAACACATAATAATACTTTTACTAGTACTATATTAGTATTTACTCTAATAGTATTTGCAGTGTCAGACTCGTTTGGACTATGTAATTCATATCACAATTTTTATGTATACTTACTGTATGTTATTTAGGAATTTCTAAAGTTTTATACTAAAGCAATATTGCTTGATAATATACGGGATAGTCCCGTATCATATTGGTGTGCAAATGCTATTATCCATTAGGGATTCTATATCCACGGATTATGAATAAAACTCTGAAGCTTATTCAGTGCGGCTTCACCCTACCAACTGCCAAATGTTTAAATGTTGTTTCGATGTATTTAAATCCACTATATATATCGTATGACTCTATTGGTATAGTTAGAGAAACACGGACGATGTATCTATCCTCTGAATAAATAATAATCATTTGACAGTTCAGGATTAGTTCGTAAGAACTTGATGTTAGTCTAAAAATTGCGTTAAAACATCATTTCGACCACCAACTTTATATTGAATTTACAAAGGTCAACCTGACCCATATAAGCCCTGTGTAGTACTTAAGTAACTCGTAAAGAATATTCTGACCTCTGGTTGGCTAATATATTTAATAACATTATTTAGTGAGTAATTTGCCGATTTCATCGCCTTTAGATTTAGTTAACATGTCAGTATTCGGAAAAAACTAATATGCTTTAAAAATGTATGTGATTTAGTATTTCAAACTGAATCCGCACTGCGATTAATCGGACAATTTTTTTCCTTCTATTGATCATTGATTATCTACCATTTTTAAGACCAAAAACCCTTATTACATTGGAGGGAAAGATTCCATATGGTCCGACTGGTCGCAGTAAACGGTCTGAGATTGATTCAAAATTATTTAAAATGCCTTACGCCCGCTTTATATATTCCAAATATTTATTATCAATTTTGATATTTGGTTCCTCTGTGTTCCTGTAACATAGATTTTTCAATAAAAAAATTACGATTTGTTACATTTTAAATGGTATTTTGAATATACGACCCGGGCGTGTTGATGACTAAAAATACTATTGATACGTACATTACCTGAATATAAATTCCCCATTTAAGTTGTAACAAAGGAAGTCATATTTTAAGAAATTCTCACTTTATATTAATTCGTCTAAGTTAGTTTGGGATTAATTTAGTGTAAGGTTCGATAAGTGCGAATGATAACTTCTAGTGATTTCGTATGTGTATATTAAGCACAAGTCCCCTACCAAATCTCTATATGCACAAACGTACAGTTATAAAAGCAAGGCACATAATAAAAAATATGTTTGTTACATTTAAGATCCAAATTTCATTATTAAATATTGAAGTGTTAAAAAAATATAAATACTTGATGCCACAAGAAATAACGCTCAATTTTCTATCTATAGTAAATTTTGATAAAGCTCATAATTGTCATGTTTCGATGTGGTTTTCTATGCCACAAATATTTTTTATAGAAAAACAACAAGCATTTATTAAATTAACATTTACATTGAAATTATCTCTTGATAGTATTTTCTATACTAGGGCACTTTAGTGACTCCTTCATATATTCCTATAAAATTGTGTAAAATCATTTATGTATTTAAAATATCATATTAAATAGTGTAGATTTCATATATTGTATGTAGTTGCATGACATATTCGTACTTGGCATATTAACAAGGATTAACATATTGGTGCAAAACAATATATGAAACTGGTGTTGTGAAATATATTTTCTAGTTGTGAATTATCAAATTATATATTAACGCATATAAAGCGTACCTTCTACTGTTTGAAAATTATTAAGTGTATGAACTTTTAGATAAGCGTTTAACAATTAGGTTATACACATGGACTTGCGCATAAGTTTTCAAACTTGATTAGAACAAAATCTTGGATAATCAAAATTGTTTTGAACAATTTTTGAATAGCTTGCGTGCAAATTACACGTATATGTGTGGTATTTGTTAAATTGTTGTGCCTAATGTTACAGGACTCATATTTGAATATGAAATTCTTTAGTTTTTAAGTTGTATGACTAAACATGTTTGATCTTGAATTAAAGCATGATTCCGTAGACTTGGTTGTTATTTTCCAATATCAGCTTCCGTGTCTGTTTCTGGAATTCTTTTTGAACACCCTATTAAAATATATATACACATTGCACATGCCAAAAGTAAAAAGCGGTCTATTGCCAAATTCGCGGCAATAGACGGCCGGCGTTATTTCAATTGACTAATCATATTATTAAAGAGTGTCAACTTGTGACAGTTTCTTGGTGACATTTGAAACGTCATCTACATATAATAAATTCGCACTTATATTTTGATAAGAGATTAAATGTAAGCATTTTTTAAATTAGCGCCGATTGTGGTCAGTGAAAATCCGTGTGTAGGTTGAATTTAAACAGAACAAACTTAAGTCATTTTCAAATGTTAAGATTTTTTAATTAATTTTTTGATTTTTCAATAAAACGACTTATTTTATTTAATGAATTTATTCCAACTGCCGACATCTTTCCGACATAAAATAGTAAAATTTCGCCGTCTCCACGATACCGCCAATCCACATTCATTTTGGTTAAATATAATTGTTATGCCTAAAAGTGATTGTATTATACGAATACATTTAAATCTATATTAAGATTGTACTTCATTAGTAATATTTATAAATACTGCAAAAATTAAAATATTCGTCCGTTTATCCATTTTGTGATCTTTTTTTCGAATAGGTAAAAAGGGGATCAGCCTTTTGTGACTGACATCCGCCTTCGACTTTTTGGTTTGGACATTTGGAACATAAATAATTCTTACCGCTGCCGTAAATTACTATCGTAATAAAAATCGGAAGACAATCTCTTTGAAAATTTCTAGTGCGTCAGGGCGGGCCGCAAACAATAAAATCATACGTACCATCTTCTAATATTAGAAGATATATATAATGAATAAAAAATTAAGAACCCAGAAACGGAGTGTATTAAGTGATCTGACTTTGTCTAAATAGTATCAATAAAAATAGTGATAAAGGAAGACCTTGTCCAAGCCCCATTGGTCATGATACCAGTAATTATGACGTAATACCTACCGCCCAACCCTAATTCCGATAAAGGATATTTTTTTCAATTGTGCTGAATCTTAGAATAAGTGGTACAAATCAATAAATTGAAATTGGTATCTCTCAGAAATTTTTCATATGTTATGGCTACTTTAGTACAAATTTTTTTGAGCGGCGATATAAGCATAGGCCCCTGGTCGTTACTGATTTTACAGTTTGTACAATACAATCACTTCACCCTAACATAAATAACAACAAGACAAGATTCATGTTTCCATCGGATTGGCCTCAGACTACGCCAGATTTAACTCAATATATTTTCAAATTTCACTTACATATAAAGAGAAGATAAAGGATCTTGTGAAATCAGTGAAAGTCGCGCAAATGTACGTGGCGCGTATGATAAAGAAATTTTTATTCGCTTTGTATGTTGTAGACACGCGCTTTACGCTTTGAAGTTTTGTCTTTTCAATATCGATGTCAAACATAATGTTACGGGCCGTTGTTGCCCGACCCTCATATATTTTTATTAATGTGGCTTGACCAGCTTGGATGCAGTGGTTATGTAAATAAATGTTCGGGTTTCGCTAAACCAATTTTATTTATGGGATCGGATGCTAACAGAAGGCAAACCAGTAGGGTCACTTTGAATAAAGTGATGAACGCCTGCAATGCCGAGGGCTAGCGGGTGTATTGCCGACCCTTCAGAGAATGGTACGCCTTTTTCATGAAGGCCCCTAAGTCGTATGGGTTTGATTATTAATTAATAAATTTAAATATTCATTTGATGTCTAGAGTTTGGTCGCACACTTTGAAATCAATTTTCCTTTACGTTTTATACATTTTTTAATCGATGTTTTGTTTCTCTTCATGATTACTATATTTGCCTATAAGCGCGTGTCACATTAACATATACTAATTGATGTGTGCCGAGTGTTGACAAGCTTTTGTAAAGATAAAATTCGCTATTTTGTTTTTTCATCATCGTGTCCTGAATTAATTATGACTGAAGCCTGTGTTTTCTTTGTTAGGAAATCACCAAATCTATGATCGGAATAAACAAATGAGCAACTCTTTAGACTTAGTTTTTGCGTGTTGGTTGCCTTTTGGTATGGTTATAATCGACACAATAGATGAATTTAAATCAAATTGAGTTACCGACGAATGGCTTTATTACGTCTTGTTAAATCGACGATTACCTAATCAGTATAGGTGCAGTTAAAGCGTTGATGTATCTAGGAATTATTGACTTTGTTGTGTACTATTGTAGGGATACGTAGTGATGAAGCCCATCCGATGTAGCTACCTTAGTCTACGTTACAGTTTACACAATATTATATTTTAGTACAACAATTTCTAAACATATTTTTTGTATTATATAGGTGCACTAAAAGTTAAAGGAATCAGTTAAAGTTTTTTAACTGAGTAGCCAAATTATTTCAATTACATTGTAGAGTTTGAAAAAGCGCGCAACATTTAGGATGTAAGTTTGTCAAATGCGTTTCTAAGAGCAACTTTTTAATATACCCTAATTCCGAAAACAATCAATGCACCAAATTTTGCAACACTATTAAGACAATATGACTAAACAGCTTTACAGTTTATATTTGAGCAGTGAGGAATAATACTAGATTTGAGATACTGGACAGAAAACTTTTGTTTCAGTTGTGAGCGCGAAATGTGACTCCAGTAGGTATGTCAAATTCTAGTAGGTTTTCAACAGTGTGGAGTCAAAATCGCGGTCTAAATAGTGATTTTACATTCTCAGAATACAGTAGGAAACTTTCTTTGTTTCTTTTAACTTAGAATCTAATACACATGATGTAAACCTTAAATAACATTAAAATTATTTCCTGCTAAAGAGCAAAGAATTAACATTTAATTTCCGAAAATCGGTACATTTTCTATTGACTTCTACACATACATTTTATGAGGTAACACATGTTGTATAATCAATATGACGATATATATTTGTGCTACGAAACAGAAAACTTAGCGCATTTATTTATAAACCAAATCAAGCCAATTACACTGTTTGAACTGAACATTTTCAAAATGGCAAAAGTCTTTCACTGTTCTCAGTGTTTAATACCAGCGTAAGTTGTCTGTCTTTAGTTTTTAAATAAATACGTTTTAACTAATAGTGACCAACTCTTACGCCTAACATTTAAGAGTCTTAATTAATAGTTAAATACTTAATTTAGTTCTAATAAACATCAACAACTTCAAATTAAGGCCTATATTTAATATGAATAATACAAACATCAATCTTCGTTTTCTTACTAAATGATAGTTACGCGAAGAACAAGCTACAATATATACAACTAAAATCACATTAAATTTGAGTATCATAATATTTTAGTGAATAAATTTAAATGGTGAGTCTCAGTAATAGACACATTAAGCCACAACAACATGATGTCCTTATCATTATCATCGCTTTAAATATAGAATAAAAGTGACAAAACATCTATTTGAATCTCATACTGAATAACTTACAAAATAATGTTGAGATGTCTAATTATCACATGCATCCCATACTATGTACAAAATCAGTATTTAGTTAAACAGACATTAAAGTAAAACAAATGTTTAATTTAAGCGAGTTACTAACAAGACTAATTAACCAATATATTACTTAAAATATCACAATCGTGAGTTTCAATAGGACCTATATGTTGAGGATAACGTAATGAAGTGCTGAGAAGTTTGCGTGCGTATTTAATTATAACTACATTATTGTCTACAACCATTTCATGACACCAAGATTATAATGTATGTGACTATTTCAAGATTAGAAAACATTCACACAAATTGGTATAGTATATTAGATATGTTATTTACGTGTTCAGTATTTTACATAGTATAATTAACCTAGACTTTTAAGCAACTGTTTAGGCTGACAGACTTAGGTATTAAAAGTAATCAATAGATTTTATTCTCCAAAATACATATTATACAAAATAGTAAAGTAAGTAAATTTTAAAAGTTTAAAATTTTAAAGAAATATTAAAAGCAAAATTTCCAATCTTTGTTAGATTTTAACTGGGTTTCATAATAAGGCAGTGCCATTTCGCACGTTACGTACCTTAATTTTTTCTTATGTGAAGAGACTTGTATGACGGAGCACGCATCGTCTTTTCGAATATTCGAATCTTTCCTTACGCGGGTATTCATTGCGCACATAGAAAAAATCTATTCATCTATTTAGTCGGTGTTGAAAGTCTCAAGTGAAGATTGAAAATTTTGCTCAACAAGCAAGTATCACGCTGGATATTTTGCTGGAAAATTCGTTTGATATGTTTGAGTACGAAAAAGTTTTAGGTTCGAATTCCAAAATACGTAACAAACTTGAAGCCTTACACACAATTAGTTTGTCATATTTTGACTAGATCACGAAACGTTTTGGAATAAGCACCTTAAGCGTAGGATATACGAATATCAGACCAAACATTCAGTTCTTTTAAATACAGAGAGTGATTAATATTTCATTAATACTAGTTTAATATTAGTAAATGCATATATTACACAATAACATATAAAGTTTCTCACCTTTCTAAACAATTTTATTTTACGAAGTGAAATACGGACACGAATAATCTAATTTTGTGTAAAAACATAAAGATAACCGATTAATAAATAACTACTTACGCTATTAATACTGACAATTAAAATAAATTTATACATTAAAAACAATGAATAAATAAACACTATAATACTTTTGTGTAAGAACTTTTTTTGCTTATCACTTTATCTCTAACAACTCTTTAACAACACATTAACGTCGAATATAACTAGAATGTCAAGGTAATAATGTTTTATATTTCTTATATAATTTTATAAAGTTCAAAGTCAAACTTGGATACTTTAAGATATTAGCTAAAAATATCTTACTAAAATAAATAATATCTTAATAATTTTGGTGCATCATAAAATAAATTCTTTTGACTTCTGTTAAAAATAAGTGTAAATAAATAATTTATTTTTTGTACTAGTTGAACCATACATAAAATATAATCCAGTATCTATATTATATGCGAGAACGGATATTATTTCATTATTCAAACAAGTGTAATATGCCGAAACAATACAAACAAGGAAATACAGAGAAACTCTCAAATTAACTTTTAAAACAAATTCTCAGGAAAAACATTCGATGAGATAGCCAGGTATTTAGTCGTCCCATGCGTCGTAGGTAACCTCCGGGTACGCCCATGGTGGTCGGCTAGAAGTGTGCGTGGTCACATTGTTGGTTTGAGGATCGAATCTGTAAAGAGAAATTGTCATAAAACTGACATCTCGAATTCTAACATCTCATCAAAACAAGAGCTTCCGATAGCTCTTCTGTTGGCATTTATCTTAAGAAATGATAAAAGTTTAATTTATTTATTTATAAAAAGTGAATTAAATATGTACATAATCCCGAGCCCAATAGACTAATGTTAAAAAATAAAACACTCGTTTATTTAAATTAAAACGTCATTAAAAATTAACACGCTTCGTATAATATACAATAATCAAATTATTTGTTGATGAGAATAAAGTTACATATAATATATACATAGATACACTTTTCACTGGCAGGTAGGTACTTACCGAGTTTCTACTGCTTTCAATGATACATTGCTTGTAGTACGGTTCCGTGTTGGTTGGGTTTCTGTTATCTTCCAGGACTGCAGCGGATCTTCATAGATTCTGGAGAGTTTTTATTTGAAAATAGATTAAATGGTCAGATGAATAACGAATAAATAAATAATCCTGGGTTTTAAGGAGAACGTACGAGTACAGTATTTAAAGCTTAAAGGGCGTAGTGAAAATCTCGCAATATAATTATTATGTTGCACACAACATGTTTTTAAGGTACAAAGAAATTCAATACTTTGATTTTGAAGTTTAAAAAAGGCACGAATTAGCTCTGTTATAAGTTATATCTTATTCAATATGTTAACTACGAAGTTTAATATATATATGTATATAGAGCTTTGAAAGGAGCAGTAGAAAGAAATTAGGATGACCTGGAGTGAAGTCAAAAGAACTGCCTAAGATCAGGCTGGTCTTCTACCCTGAATGACTTTAAGTCAATGTTTAAATAACAGTTGTAAAGTAATTACTCCATACAAAGCTATTTAACAGTAAACAATGATAATTTCTTACTGATTATCATTGTTGCCGAAGGGTCCATCGCCCTGGAATATGTTTCGATCTCCGACTAGGTAACTTTGAGTGGGCCCTGGGACTAACATAGTACGTTCAAGTGGGTTCGGGGGTGGTGGTATTGGCTCCGGAGACTTGGGCGGGTCGGTCTCTAATACAGAGTTCTTAATACCATACATGAAGTACATAAAGAATCCTGAAAAAGTAAAATGTGCCGTCTAATTATATTGATTAGTTAAGATTAATTTAATGCAACATATATATATAATTTGTCTTTTCAGCAGTTAAAATAAATAAAAATACCTACTATGTTATTAAAAATTTCAATGTAGGTACGAAAAAATTTACAAAATCTAAAACTCGTCAATAAATATTCTGTGGTATCTTTAGACCAAAGATTTTTACCTAAAATCATCCAGACGGTGAATCGTACAAGGGTCAGTACAGAGAGGTTTAAGATCAGATAAATGTTTACAGTCACTGCAATTGCCGGTACAAAAGGGACGCCAGGGGTAGTGTATATCAAGCCGATCCTGAAAAAATAAAACAATTAAATTAAACCACCTGTATACGAAATTCGTAACCACCGTCATTTGTTTTACAATGTGTTAGGACTGTCGCTAATAAATGTAATTTAACATAATTATTAAGATAGATAATTCATAAAGTTCAACGCAATTATTTTAAATTCTTGATAAATTTTCGCATAAATATTGGCAGATATAGGACATAAACAAGACACTGAACATTATTTTGATGTACACACACTATCGATGTATAAATTTAAGAAAATTAAATATTGTTATCTCAATCGCTTTATTTGCTATTAACAGAGAATACTTGGGTACGTACTTATTTTGCGGCTTGCGTGAGATCATAATCAGGATGGCCAAAACGCCGAGTGCCAGTAGAACCATTAGGAATGTAGTAAAGTTGCCAGGGCTGGAGAAGGCGGCAAGCATGTCGAAAATTATAACCAGGATGTACATCAATCCGACAGACCTCATCACGAACTTTCCTATGGATAGAACAAGATATAAGAAATTGCATATTAGTGCAGGAGTAGGCGATTTCCAATACATGTGGGTAAACAGACAAACACTGACTCGAACGGAGATAGAAATGGTGATGCTCATGATGCAGAACACATGCAGCCCAATGCGAGAATGAAGTCTTTGTTAAAAGGTTCCATATTAAATTTAGTTAATTTATCGTATAAATTATTTAAGTTTGGAAGACAGCTGAATAAATAACTTAAGATTTCCACAAGAAGAAACACTTAAAAGCATTCTTGAAACTCGAAGTCCCGAAAATTAAAGGCAAGAAATTTTAGTTTTCCGTGACTTTTGACGCTTTTGCATTCTTTGAATTGACGTCTTTTAAATAAATGATATATATATATATATTGGCACTAAACCCCTTTATGGGTTACAACCCCAGATTGCAGCAGCTGCTTCTGTTACTACCTCCAAGACTCACTCACTCAACCTGTCATTAAATCTCTGCCATTTTTTTGGTTCGAATCCACTAAAGTCTAACCAGTGGGTCACGTACAATTGAGATTAAAAGGACCTCATCTGAGTAGAAGGACCAAAAGTAAATTCGTCCTTCCTATTTATTGGTATCAGCGTAATTAACCAAGTTATGAAAACGAAAGATTCTATTCTTACTACCTTTTTCGTAATTTACTGTCACTATTAAAATGTGTAGACCATTTTTTTAGAATGTGTTTCTTTATAAAACTATTTAGATTACCACTCTGTTCTGTAGCGGGGCCGCAATCAATCCAGGGCAAGATCCCCGGGCACAGGTACGACATGGCGAACAAACGTTGGTATATGTCATCGAAGAAACGCTGGAACCTCGACACGTCAGAGCAACCAGCACTGGGCACTGCACCAAGCATACAAACTCCTTATGATTAAAACCACATAAATACGATACGGTACGTTTATACCACATTGGTGTTATTATTTGAGTTAAAAGTTGTAAATCTTTCCGATGTCACTTGCAGCATGCGCTGATAATAAATATTTATTGACAATTTGCACACAATAAACATCAAAACCGGCAATAAATCTAAGCGCAACGAGCTGCCTTATGGCTTATAAGCGGTCCAAAGCAAAAGTTTCGAGTTGACTTAAATTGATATTCAAAATTAATAATTTTTCTTTAAATCGAATTATGTTTTAATTAATATGCATTAAATGATCACGAAGCACAGGTTTGTTATATTTTGTTTGTAATATACTTCGAGAAAAAGCATGTATGATGTACCGAAATTCATGTACAAAAAGTGAAACACTTTTTTTAATTTCCAATTACATCGTATTTAAATATTTATTAATTAGGGTAATTAATTAGTAAGTGTTAATTACTCTAAGTATGGTTATTTAGGTTTAGTAAGATTATGTAAGTAAAGTTGGTGTCTCATTGTATTTACTAAATAGAATAAGATTTATCCATTCACAATTTACAACTAAAAACTTAACTAACAACAACTAATGTTAGGTAGCTGTATTTTAACAGCTTATTTTTCTTTAAAATATTATTATTATTAACTGAACTGACATTTGACACATTTTATTATTAGTTTATTAGCAAACTATGCAAAACTTGCTTAGATATTTTTAAAGATAAGTTTATAGTTTAAATAGAAATGACGCCTTATTAAATTAATTTACCGAACTATCTCGTGAGAAACTTAACGCTTCCAAACATGAAGTTTTCAAAATCTAATCAGAAGATCTATAAGATTATGACACGTTATATCTTGCATAAGTAATATTTTATAAGGTTTCATTAAACAAGAAAACAATAACGGTATAAGATTGATTAAAAGCAATAAGTCAGACAGTCGAGGAAAATTATCAGAAAGAAAATTAAATTATAGGGGCAATTTTGTTTCTTGACTAAATAAAACCTTAAAAATTATTTAATGAAAACTGAATCTTACGTAGATGGTGTGATATCTCAGTTCTATATATATATTATAAAAAATTGTAAATTATGTGTCATACAATAAAGATAATGCATTTTACGCTTATTTAGTTCCTCTGAAATGGACAATAAAGAACAATTAAAATTACCGTAGAATTGGTTTTCCGAGGTAGAATGAATGAGGTACTGGTCCCCGCGTCCGTATTCCTCGCTTTCATCACCAGGCAGAGTATCGTCCGAGTCCGGTGAGCTGTGAATATACTACATCGCTTAGGGAAAGTACACATTATATTAAATAAAAAATTTCGGCCGGCCTTTCGCATTGCATTTCAATAATTTCGCGTTGCATAAAATGTATTTTACCTGCGTGTTACACGACGTACCATTACGCGTTGACTGCATGGTAAAATGTGGGCTTGAGTCGGACCCTGCAACGGCAAAGGGTGTTTCTTATATCCAGATGTGCAACTCTATATTTCTGACAATGTAAATGTGTAGGGAGTGAGAATGTAAAACAACAGACGATAAACGGACCCAATATCATGATGTAACATGTAGCACCATACCAGAGATACTGTTGACCATTCACCAAAACGAAACGCGTCGTTTTTCGTTTTATATTTCATCCCACTGGTTATGATTTATAAGGTACTGTATAAACGCGTTAAAATTTTAGGTTAACTAAAACTATTGATTTTGCACCTCTATAATATACAAGGAAATTTGTAATTCAGAGTCGTAATTATAGTAATAATGAGATCCATAGCAGCTACTTTCATTCCGTCATACTATTACTATATATTATACATGAATACTAAGATATTAAAAAAAATTTGAATCTAAAGTGGCAAGTTGTTCATGACAATACACAGTAATTATAAAGTTCATAGTTTTTTTAAAAATTGGATAGTCTTTGAAGAAATAAAGTTAAAGTACCATAGAGAATATATTTTTTTTCTTAAATTAACTCCGGTGATGTTCTAATTATAATTTCTTCTATATACGTTTTCCATTGACATAATAAAAAATAACCATTATTAACCATGTATAAAAGCTCATTTACGGGATAACTTCATAAAACTTTGTAGTCACAACAGTCAGTTGTCACTGCGTTTGACATTTTCATTCACTTTGAATTTTTCACAAAGGCCGATTTGTAAATGTGGGCACAGATATCTATTCTGTCTGGCCGTTGTTTATTTCGATTAAAATGTCTCGAGGTTCTTTAATTTGTGCTAATTCCAAAACTAGACTAGCACATAATAAACCAGACATTTCGCTTGCTGTTTTGGCATTCATATAGTTAATTTGTAGTTATAATATTCGTAAATTTCTTGTAAAAAATGTATTTTAAACTTTTATCAGAAAAATGTGACTCAAACAATTGTGCATGTTAAAAATTGTCAAAAGCTTTCACATACGATTGAGAGATGTCAACAGAACGTTTTGTGCACTTTTAGTCATTCACTTACAGGCATTTCAAAATTGCCAACGCTAAAAGCGCCGAACTTTACAATTGTTGTCCACGCTCAACTTTTGAAATAAATCCAGTTTCAACTTTGTACACAAAACACAGCCGTTTAACTTTTATTTACCTATTTTCTAAATTTATAACATGTTTATTAAATTCCTGTATAAAAGTACCTGGAGAAGGCCTTTGTCCTGATCAGCAAAAAGAACTTGTCCAAAGTAAAGGTTTATTTTTGTATTTAATTATTTAGTAATTAATTATTATATTTACTCACTCATACATAATATATAAGTATGGATATTAAATAAAAATACATAACGCCAATATCGGGTTTCATTTCACAGTAGAAATTAAAAAAGCTTGAAGAATATAAGAAATACAATTAAAAAAACTACAGTATGAGTAAAAAATTATATGGATCTAATGAGGGCGTGATACATACACGTAGGTACACTGTTATATGTGTGTATATTTTCCTAGTACAACGTACAAGTTGCCCAAATATACGAGACATAGATTACATAAACAATATCAAATTACAAATCATACAATTTTTTATGTTGAAATAGAAATAAAAATAATACAGGTACATGTACGAAAAACAAAATTTTCAAAGTAAATATATATAAAATGTTAAAACAGAGAGAGGTTTACAAATAATTACTCTAATAAAATCTAAATATTGTTAAAAACGCTATAAGTCACTGAACCTAAGGCAACGCGTCCACCAAGGTAACCGTGTGGCTAAAGCCTGTCCCACTACTCTGTAAATCAAATCAAAGCCCTAAAACCTAATTATATTGTAGCTCTTTCAATATGCGCTTAGAGCGCATGGAGCGCTTTTATCGCAAGCTTCGGAATACACAGTAAGAAAGTTCAATAATGAGATCGAGATCACGATAAGACAAAGTCTGGTGGTCAATTGTCAAATCCTTACATGCGGCACTCATATTTAGCCTCTACAATTTCTATATACTTCAGTTTCTACTATGAATCTTAGATAAGGATATATATAGCGATTTACGATTGCGCGTTAGTAGATTTTTTTTTTTTTATGTATTAGTGTTGGCCAGGTAGCTAGGCGTACCAAACACTGGGTACACCAATGTTCGCTTACGGTAAAGGAACACATTGCGATCAGCATGTCTTATATATAAAAATCGTATATCGGCGTATTAGGCGTAATCAAAATTTATAAAATAGATACAAAAATCTGAGACAAGATTTTATGTCGATTACAAAATTATACCACTCTACATAAATTGTTAACTTACATTAAGTCATCAAGACTGCAAAATACCTTTTAGTATTTTTTAAACCTCTATACGATATAATAACGAGGATTTGTATATTATATGGACTTAAAAGGTTATTCTAAAACTCAATTAGTCAGTTATACTAAGCTGTAATTTCATCGGAGCGAAGTTCTGATACGCCGCTTGCAGAACGTTAATTCTCCAAGTAACTTCTTAATTACATAAACCAATACTGGTTCTGAGTTATTAATATCTGCCATGTTAACATAAGGTATGTTTGCAGTTTTAGAGAGATATTACAGGAATATTTTTTACCTTTATCTCCACTTTCAGGCCGTGTAAATGATAGCTAGGTTATTTATCATATTCACAAACGATTTCATTGATAGCCATAATTTATATAAAGATCCGTTTTGATAGTAAAAGTAATTGTTTGTAATATATAAAACACATATTAAACACATCATATACCGTTACATATTGTACTTTTTATTTGCGAAAGTGTGAAGCTTATGGCGGGTGAGTGCTTTATAGAAAACATATATATTAAATAAAAATTTAAAACAAATTAAAAAAAAAATTACACTAAAGACGATTATAGAAAAAAATATCATTATCGCTTACCATTATTGCCGTTTGTCGTTGACCCGATGCTGTGCCTTCGGGGTCAACCGGAGTGCGAAAGCTCTCAGGCAAGAGGTCGATCAAGTTGGTAGAATTTGGTTGATAACGAAGAACTAGCACACAAGTTGACACCAGTGTGTAGGCCAGAAGAGTACCTACAATATACACCCACAGGTTAACAAAAGTAATTTTAAATTATTATTAACATGTATGTGTAACCCAATAGGAACATTATTGTTTTGTGTGTGTGTGTAAGTCTAACCACCTGACTAAATATTTAAATTAAGCCAAGCGCGCTACAAATCCACCGATATATTCGGCATATATGTATCTCCTATATGATTCTACAAATGCTCGCGATTTTAATTCAATATGTTCCTAATTTTGATCACTTAGCTAGCTAGCGTCATAGATCCAACATGGAAATCAAGCTATAATCAAATGACTGCAGGAATTTCTCTGACTAAATATTTAAATTAAGCCAAGCGCTCACCAATTCACAGATATATTTGGCATATATATATATACCTCATATGATTCTACAAATGCTCGCGATTTCAATGATTCGCGATTTCGCGATTTCGATGTTGCGGGAACTAGCTCTTTCTGAATTAATAATAGGTTCCACAAATTGAAATCGTTATGCCCTAACCGCGATGAAAATAAACCATGTTATTGATCATGCATAGGGCTTTCTAAGTATAGAAGCGAATCCGTAACGATTTGTCTAAATATAATGTCTTTGACCTAATTGGTATTAAAGGTCTTATAAAATACGATAGCGTTTTATTTTTGTCACCATAAAAAATGAGCATTGTGTACAAAAGCAAAACTTAACAACCTCTGTAATCGAAACCGCGAATAATCAGATGTAAATTACAAAAACAAAATTCACATAAAAAATCATAGTAAAATTAAATGTTGCGAATAAAATTGAAAACGTATGCAAAATTTTACCAATGGCCCGAAAACCCCTAAAATTATAATTTAAAATAGTATGTCAAACGAATAATTGAATTGAAAAAAAAATGAGTAGTATAAATTCCTTACCAATGCTCATCATTTCAACAAGTACTTCGAGATGAACGAAGAGTGCGACAATAGAGGCCGCGCCACCACCGTAAACAGCTGCAGTTGCAGGGGTCCCGAACCGCGAAATCACTGACAGTTGTCTACAAACGTATCAACGCTTTAAGTATGTAGATACATTCGAAATTATATAACTTTGAAATACATGATATTAAAGTATTCGTGAACGGCTTGTTTACTTAATTACTTAGAATATCATCGTATTTTAACAAACATTTTACGAACGGAATTATTAATAGAATGCCAATTGTTTAAAATTTTAAGAACTATTATTTAATAAATTATTTACTTAAATATCAGTCCATCCTGCGCCATAGCGTATACGACGCGAGGAAGCGGAAACATAGACCCGAACATAGCAACTGTAAGGCCAGCTATCGCACCCACAGCGACAATGTACTTGCAGTTTGGTGCATTTACGTAGGTGAACATATCGAGGAGGGCAGCCTCCGTCGATACCTGATCGTAGGGCACTGTAACAAACGCATAGTATATAATCCTTGTATCATATATTAAAGTTTGAGTTTTAAATCTCCAGGGTCGTGCACTTACACGGGCTGTGCATCAATTCACATTTTTCCTATGCGTTTCTTGAACGTACGGATTAATTAATATTTAGAGAATAAATGTTTCCAAAATATCAGTTATAATTGGTATGAGTGATATAAAAATGTACTATTAATATGTTGCAAATTCAATAAATTTTAACACAAATCACTTTTGGGATTGAGTTGTCCAATTAAGGTCAACTTTCAGCTAACAAAGGCGTTTATGCTATGATACTAAATATGGCTGGAAGACATCATTAAATAGCCGAAAAGCCCCCCGTTGTACTACATGATACACATAATTATATTAATGGTATTGTAGCTCCTTATTTTTATTAAGTGAGCAATAACTTGGTGCTAGATCTGAGACCCGAATATATCTTGTACTGACGATTGCTAATAAAATAATAATAATCAATTATTAGACGTAATTCCTCATATGTACCTGAGAAATTCCATTCATTCACGTACTCACATGTACCACTCAGAAATGACGGCATAGTGCTCAGAGTTATTTTCTGATATAGTAACAGCCTTCTAAGCGTTATTCACGTTGGTTCGTTTCACAGGTTTTTTTTTCCATGGGCTTGTAGTCTATAAATCCTTAATTAGGATTTTTATAATGTTTTATTTGTTTGAGTTAGTAAAACATACACTTCAAAAGTAAAAACCCACACAATTAAATTTCACTTTGCGTTTGCCATGTGTCAGTTTCGTAGAACGTTCAGTATTCAAAAGCAAAAACAGCTAGCATAAAATCTTCTGTTATGAACCATTGAATTTTCCGCATATTTTAGTAAGAGGAAATTTTATTTTTCGTTTCTCAAATACCAAGTTGGACGTTTCGACAGTCGAGAAAAAGTAAAAAAGAAATCTCTACTGAATTCTGTTTATAAAAATCACAATTCCTCGGTAGTTTTTCTTATTTCTACTCTGTCGTTTATTGTCATATGCTAGCTAGAGGGCTCTTTTGTTTTTGCTTCATAGCTATTAAATCATAATGATATCAGTCTTTGCCTGTAGGGCATACTTAGTTGCGGTTTTTATTTCATTAATGGGAACATAATCTCTTTAATTTTATCTGTTTTATGAGCATTTTGTTTCTTTAACAGAATTTTCTTTAATACCTCAATATGCAGTACTAATAAAGAAGCTTTTCTATTAATCGCTTAAAAGCATTTAACCTGGCAGAACATAAAATAACGAAAATAAAACTTGTAGCATTTTTATTCGATTAACTTTTATCTATTACGTATTGAAGATAAGAGTGCTTTTATCTTGAGATTGTCTCCTTGACCGCAATTTCTAAGTACCAATATAAATTACTTACCGACTAAGCTGAGCATCAAGGAGCAGGTTACATAGGATACGAGAACAATGCCGAGACTGTACACAATGGCCAAAGGAATTGATCGTTTTGGATTTGTGGCTTCTGCGCCTGTTGTAGCAATTATGTCGAACCCAATGAACGCGTAGAAGCATGTTGCCGCACCTCTGAATACCTGTTAAATAAATTGATATCTTTAGTAAAACATCCTGACGTACCTCATGTAGAAGAAGAAGAACGTACTTCATGTATTTTATATATAAAATATGCCCGTTGTCTGTGCGCTTGAGTAGATAAACCAATGTAAGTATACGTCGAATCTTGGTAAAATACTACATTACCTTTGTCATAAAACGGGGGGGACGCGGGCGGGAGGCTCATCTGATATTAAGTCACATAGACGTTATACTGGCAGAAGAGGTGCGAGTTGCGTTGCTTGCCTTTTAAAAATTCGTACACTCTGTTCTTAAAAGACCCTAACTTGTATGTGTATAAGTGAATATTTAAAGGTACATACTCCACTCCAGCCGTACGGTAGGAATCCACCGTGCTGTGACCAATTATCCCACTTAACGTAAAACAATCCAGTTGTCATTATAAACACCCAAACGCTACAATTAATGATGTTTAGGATATTGTTAAATATCAGAGACTTTTTGACGCCGGCGACCAGTATCAGGGACATTAAAATGGTTATAGCGAATGCTATAAAGTCCGGGGGTTTGCCTGTGAAATAAATACATAACTTTAGAACACACACATATAAACTTAGGACTAACTACTAAATGAATCATTAACGTCTAAAATTATTATCTTCGAAGTAGTATTAATATATTAAAAACAATTTTATGATATTGAAAAATATATAGTAGATGTTTTTTTTATTTTATCATTGATTAATACCATCTTGAAAGTGTTTATCTTTGTAAAACTTGCGTTTTAAATCGACCTCATCGAATATAAGCAGCTTTCAATATTACTAAATTTACGAATAAACTAACTAACTTGCCGTATTTTATTACCGATAAATATCGGTAATAAAATACGGCAAGTTAGTTTGAAATTCAATTACACTAAGGCATACTACAAAGAAAGTCGACAGTGAATCCCGTCAAAAGCTTTAAGTGCAAAAGTGAATAGGTAACAACAGCTTCTACAAAGAAGTATCGAACATATTTTGAATACGAGTAGAAGGTTTATAACAATAGACTTTTCATACTGAAACTGTATTGAATATAGTGTATTGAGTGTGGGATGATGTCTGTGTCATTGATGTCAAAAATCATTATCGCTAAGTTATGTCAGGCTATATTATTGCGATTAAGCGACGAGGCAATTCATTTGAACAAACAGCATGAGATCAAATTATTATAAAATGTTTTTTTATTACTTTTATAAATTTAACTTTAATGTATAAAGTATTGAAACTTTTTGTGCTATTATTTAGTTATAAACAAATGAAATTGGGTAACTATTTAATTACCTTTTACCGATTTGCATGGGTCTAAAATTTACGCCTAATTGTTCTAAGAAATTATAACCACATATGCGTTTGAGATATTACGATAAAGCATAATATATAAAATTAAAACATATAACGTAAATACATTAATTTTGCAAATCCCTTTGTTTATGTACGTTGATTATAAGGGATTCGTATCGGCTAGTGAATCCGGTGTTGACAAGCGGTATTCCACATGAATGCGCCGATAATGCTCTATAACAATTGTAACACTGGTATATTCGTGATTGTGGTATGCCAAACCTATGATGGTTTATGGGTCCAGAAACACTTTCGACCATAATTGGTAAGACAATGAAACACTGATATACAGTTACAAAATAACACTGAATAATATATAATTTTATAAGGTATGGTTATGACTAACTTCACTTTTAAGCAGTATCGCCTATAAGCTTTAATTTGCTTCTTGCTAGGAAATTACTGAATAAAAATAACCACAATATTAATATACTTAAACGTTGCCAACGTTAGCTTTAACCATTCGTACATTTTTCACTTTAACCTTGTATTAATTATAACATACAATTTGTCTTAAGATAAAGTAATGCATGAAACTCTACTAACCTAGATATTACAGGCCTTATATAACGCCATTGACTTATGGCATACAACATGATAACAATAGTAATTTGATCAAAAATTCCAATATAGAAATAAATTCCTAAAACATTCTCTAAAGTTAATGGTAAATTATATATTTATGTCACTCTTAGATTAAACTCCCTTTTCATAAAGAATAAATTAGTATAAAAGGCAGAGCCAAAACACAATTTAACAATGACGAAATATACTTAATTTATGAGTTTTAAGGATTTTTTTACAATAATATTTAAATAATAAACAATTATTATTCAAACAATGCATTTCAATAATCTTGAGAAATATTAATTCACCATTGGATACAACGAATAAATAATTGTTTGGAAAAGCATCACAAAGAAGCACAACTTTAAGCCCTTTCCGGGTGTAAGTAAGGCTCTTAAAATAGTTATATATTAACAGAATCATAATAATGTCTAAGCCGAAGCGTTTGAAGTAGCTATTATTTTATTTTACAAAATTCTATATTTAAAGTACGTTATTGCAAAGGCAAATGTAATTCAAACATAAATATGAGATTAGATTAAAATGTATAATTTCCGGTTCAGTGTTGCTACTTGTTACTGTTTTTAATCATATTTGGGTCAGGTTTTAAATGCGATGTTTCCTGAGAGAAAGACGTTTTAGTTTACGCCTTATTCGGATTTGGATAATATATTTTCTTAAGGTTTATCGTTTTATGCCTAATACTTGAATACTTATTATTTTGTATTTAATATTCTTTACTTATTATTTTCCCTTCTTTTCACGATGGGTAATTAATAAAAATATACTTTATTTTAGAAAAACCAACTTATCGAATACAATATATTTTACGAGTGACATAAGCAGACATAAGAAGACACACACAAAAATGTATATCTATTATACATCATTAAACTAAGCAGTTAATGTAAACTGTCCATACTGTGAACTAAATGCATAATTAATTAATGAATGAGGTTAAGTGAACAAGTAAAGGGGATTGAATAATCTACGAATGTACGACTTTTTTATTAATATTACGAAGAACAGCACGTTCATGTTTTATCATCATCATTGAAACGAGGAATATTCCTGAATGCAATACGAAGTTTATCAAAGCTGTATTTCTGTTTTACTTAAGTAATACTGTATAAATGTAGTAATTTAATTTAATTTCTCTGAAACTAAGAGATATGTTTTCATCATAGTAAAAACTAGTTTTGAAGATTAGTTCAAAATACAAACGTATATTCATTAATCATTTTCGAACCACCGATCTACCATTGCTACAAAATAGGTTATTATTAATTCAACTTACAAAAACCACATCGAAATTGGAAATAAGTACTTAAGAAAATCGCAGGTAAAAACGTCTTAATTAGTAAAATACACTGCATAAAAATCTGTGTCTAATTGTTACCGGTTAAACTATTAACGAAGTTAAGTTAACAAGGTCGTAGCATTGCCATTACGACGCTACTACATATGTGCTACGAGATACGAGCTACGATCGAAGCTAACAGGTTGATCCGCTACGTGTATTATGTTTTGACGACATTATCTACTATGATGGAGAAACAGAGCAGGGTTAACCATTATAGTTAGGTAAGCGATTTTCTACCCTGTGATCGACTGAAACTCAGTAATCATTTGTTTCTTTACGCCATTTACACTTGCTCGTACGGCATGTCTTATCAGATACATATATAAAAAATAGTTTCGCTGCCAGACATTTTGTATCATTGAGGAATTAAATTACCTACTTATCTTATAGGCATATCCCTAGGCAATTTAGACAAAGATAAAAATTATTTACATTCTATAATGTGAAATCATAACTTACCAAAGATGGTTCCAATGTGCGATGCAAAGAAGTTGGTAATAGCACCATCACATAAGGAGTCGAAACAGACGCTCAAGGCTCGAGCACACGCACTGGTTCCAATCTAACAAAAATACGAGAATAAATACAAAAGTCCGGTATCACACTTGCGAACTCTGTTCCTCATTAACTTGGAATCGGTAAAAAAATACCAATAGTTATGTTTATTGACCACTTATTTAACTGTGTTTCAATGTATAACTTTTAAGTTACCTATTTACTAAATAAATAGAAACTAAAATTTGATTTGATAGTCTGTAGTAATTTCATAGTTTGGCAAATTAAATAAACCACAGTACAGTTTTGAACTAATATGACTTTGATGTTATTCAATTATAATGACAATGATACCAGCGCCATTGCTCCGACAAACTCGTATATATTCTGAGAATGGTTGTTAAAATTATTGGTTGGTACAATGTTGCAGGAACTAGCTCTTTCTGAATTAATAATAGGTTCCACAAATTGAAACCGTTATGCCCTAACCGCGATGAAAATAAACCATGTTATTGATCATGCATAGGGCTTTCGAAATATCGAAGTGAATCCGTAACGATTTGTCTAAATATAATATCTTTGACCTAATTGGTATTAAAGGTCTTATAAAAATACGTATTTTTTACACGGAAATAGATGTATCACGAGTGTATATTACTAAAAAAAGCACTAACATTGCCCTTTTAAAAATATTACCTATTATTATTCAGGTGTAGTGTAGTGAGCAATTATCGTTCGAGAATTAAAGTATTTCGTGTTTTATCTAAAATCTTTCATAGTCATTGAGAGTTTATTGATTTTGTAGCTTAATCGTTTCTGCTAATATACAAAAAATCGATTTTCTGTAGCGAAAGGTTACATTTACCCACTCATAATAACTAAAACAGGCTAATTGCAATCTTTAAATGAACGTATTCTTTCGCCTCTTTCTGTTAAATTATGTTTCCACTGTGAAGAAAAGAGACAGGTGTGCAATTTAGTTAAAACTCTGCAATTGGTCTGATCAAGTATTTATGCATAGAACCAAGGTGGTATTTTATATACTACAGCTTGGCATTGACTTTTCCAATTAAATCGAAGCTTGACAGGAGGCAATACTTAAGCTGCTGCCTTTGTGTAATCCTATAAACGGCTTAATTTCACTTAATTAAATCCTGCAAAAGGTTCGGATTTGTATTATTGAAAAAAGGTTCATATTTAACAAAAGCAGATCAGTGAGCCAAAGCTACACTACTTCGTTGTTCGTTTACATAAGCGGATTCTTCTAGTCCTGTATCTTTCGGTCTGAATTGTTTATTAGGTTACTGAGATAAATAGAAGAATTTTTTTCTACACATGTACAATTGTTATGACTTATTGATAATAAGTAGCTAATATTTATTATTAAAAAAAATAACGAAATTACATTATTGCATGCTATAAAATAAAATACTGTAATTAATTCAAAACTTTGGTCCCTATTTTAAACTACGCATAAAGCTGGCGGCTTTTCCTCGTATTGCAATGATATGGGGAGACAAAACAGTCCCCCATCCCCCGGTGTTCTCTATTTGTAGCATTAATTACACTGGCAATGCAACAGATAATACGAGAGTAATTACCAGGTATTCCAATAGCATATTCCAGCCGATAATAAACGCTATGAATTCGCCAATAGTGACGTAGGAGTAGGTGTAAGCAGATCCTGTTGTATTTGGCACTCGGACACCAAACTCTGCGTAGCAAAACCCTGTGAAATATTTTTGTTTACAAAATCAATACTTAAATGTTTAGGCACTATAATAGAGAAGTGAACTCCGTAAAAAATATTTTAAGTTTTCTTTGTAAATTTCAAACATCACCAAATAAGATTTGAGAGATTTTTTAAGACCCTTTTGTAATTTTGTGGAATAGAACTTTATTATCTAGAGTAGGGTTGAATAGAAATATCATTAATACCCGTGTTGAGAGATTAACGGTGATCAATACGAGGATCCTCAACATTTATTGTTAATAACCACAATATGAAAATTGCTGTACGCTTATCTTACAAAAGTAATTTTGTTTACTGAAAATTGGCACTTTGCGGCTATCCCGCAATCACATATTTAAAAACCAAAATGGTCACATGTACATTATAACATATTAAGGATATCATAAATCATTTATGACGTTTTAACAATAAAATAAATAATGTTCAATTGGGGGCTCAAAGTTTAGTCTAAAACTACGTATCTAAATAAAATATTGTTTATTCTAAGTTTAGCTCGGTAAGGCTTATGTGATGCTGAATCAATTGGAGTTAATTATAATGTTCTCGAGATCCTGTGTAAGTTGACTTAATTAACCGTAGTCAGGGTGAAGTACAAATAGGATATCGGTATAATTAGAATGATCGAGGAAGAATACATTTCAATGCACTACTTAGAATATAAACGAAGACTTTATATAATGGCTTCATTCTATGTAACACGTTTTAGAAAAGCGATTTTTTTGAAGTGGCATGTTTACGAACATAACATACTACTTGATATAAAACTTTCAAGTGTATTTACGATATACTGTGTAAGTATATCGTTAAAACAGTTATGGGGCGATTTTATATGCTTAAATGAGTCGAGTGATAGTTCTTAACTGTAAATAATTCAATTATTTATATGAAGAGGTATTTATGTTAAATTAAATTTTATGGACTATTTAACTATTCTTGTATCAGAAACTAAAGCGTAGGACCTCCCTATATTATATACAAAAAAGTATATTGATTCAAAAACTTTATGGGCATCAGATGGCATCTGCTTTTTGGAATTGTGTTTTATAGGCAAGTTTGTGAACCATTCTGTCATTGTCAATTACGAAAATAGAAAGAAAAATTCAGTAGTGCACGGCTGGGATTTGAACTCAGGACCTCTGGGTTGCAACACAAAATTTATGTTCTGTACTCAAAACAGCGACAACATTTGCCTTACAAATTACAGTCTTCGTTTATGTATTAATTAAGTTTTCTATTTGAGTAAACCTTTTCTCTGTTAATTAAGTTATGTTTGTTAGTCAATAATAAACAATGAATACCATTGAATAATATGGCATAACTCGCAATTGAATTATTCCGACACCCAATATTGAAATGTAAGTAATGAAATTGGGTTTAAAAGCGTCAAATTTAAATTAAATGCCTTTAGAGGTAAAATTTACATGCATTTTATTCTGTTGTCTACAAAAGCTCGGCGTGTATGAACTCGAGTTATTTTTTTTTATTAATATCGCATTTTAAATATTCATATAAGTTGCTGCAAGGACAAAAAAATACCTGAGAAAATGCTCGCTATGGCTGCTATCATGAAACTTATCGCTGCTCCAGGGCCAGCAAACTTTTGAACAACCATCCCGGAGACCAGATACATCCCGGTGCCGGCACAGGAACCAACTCCCAAAGATGTAAGGTCCGTTGTATCTAAGCATCGCTACAAGAGAGGAATTGATTAGTTTAATAATATTATTTAATTGTATTAAACAATAATTTTAATTCTGTCTTTGATGGTATAGTTAATTCCGTTATACATAAATGTCGAATGTCTCAAATGATTGGTCATAATCACTCAAGTGTCACATTGCGTAAAATAATTGATATTGATGAAAACCAATAAATTCCATTCTGTAGCTTTTGAGTTGATAGACAGACACGTAGACGGGGCGGAGTACTAGTTTTAATATAAAAGTTAAACATACGCTTTCACTTTTTTGTAGGCATTAACAAGTTCTTTAACTTTTCTCTAGAACTCAATCATATGATTTATGTCATATATCAAATATATGATGATGAGGGATATATCCCTCATCATTATTTTGGGCACCGTTCGTAAGGAACGTTATCGTTCGACCAACTTAGCAAATCCGACTACCACGAAAAAGTATTTGATTTTTTTTTAGTTAATAAATATGACAACGTGCAATGCTACTGATGAAAGAGTTTTTAAAATCGTTTCAGATGGTCCAGTGATTACCTTCTACAAACTTATTTACTTATAATACTACTATGGATTAACTATACTAATAATTCTGTTTCATATATTATAAGCATCACCTTCAATCGTTTATATTCCCTATTAAATGTATTTTAATTGTTTCATTAAGAGTGGTGTCGGACACGGATAAAAAATACAGATATATTAGAAACTAATGTTCTAGGCAAGTTCATTTTTGTATATGATACAATATAACTTAATATATGTTTATTTGTCAGTTTCGAACAAAAAACTTACATACTCAACAATTATGGTTTAAACTTATTAATACGCTTCTTTAGTATATATTATTAGAAAGAATAATGTACTAGAAAGAACGACGCGATGACAAAAGAGGATTATATAACAGATAGAGGGATCACTTCGTTCACAATCTTCACAGCAGCGTATTACTAAATTAAAAATTCTTTTACCATCTAAGTGGTACGCCGATATCTAACGTAAGTTAAGCCCCAACCGTTTTGGATTAAAACATTTCCATTAAAACGTAATTTTATGTAATATTATATTTATTAAAACATTTTATCTTATTAAATTAAAATGTGAGGGAGGAACTTATCATGATAACTTTAACCTTATTTATTATTTGACCCGAAATTTTGAGATTTATAGCGAAAAAAGCGTAAAAAGTCGACAATTACAGTGAATATTATGAATTCAGTATTTTACCAAGTAACAGTAAAATCAATCCGAGAATTATGGTTATAATACTTACAATGTGATAGTAGTATAATAACAAGTTTATTGCTAAAAAGTTTAAAATCCTTAACGTTTATAAATATTCTTAACCTACATTGTAATAATAATCATCATAGAAAATTAAAACAAATAAAAAGTTTGGTCCTTGTGGAAGTGTACCTTTAACGCTGGCAGCATTTCCTCGCTGTATTGCGATACTTATTCGTTGAGCGAGGAAAGCACCAGCTCTAAGGTCAATTTAAATCTTTAATTAGCGCCTTTGCACTTGAATTCCACGGCCCAAGAGTCTCTATTCCAAAGGGTCAACAACAAAATCGAAGTTGGAGTTGGCGTTGCATCGTTTATAAATATATTTTTTCTTGATGTAATTTATAATTGTGTGTGTTGCCGAGCTGATAGTCAAATTTGTAGTTAATAAATAGAATTCTAACATACTAGTAAATAATATAACCACGCATATTTTGTATTTTCTATTTTTCATTTGCTAAAAAATCTAGTTATTTGTGGCCTACAAAATAATATCGAATTGAAATAACTCCACTGGCGGCTGGTTCCACCGCCACCAATTGGTGCTCGCAAGAATGCTTTAAAAATGTGAAATGCCAGTCGTTAGAGATTCCATCATCCGAAGAATAAATTGATATCGAAATTGGATTTTTTTAAAAACGACTACATCACTTCGTTCCTTTGCGTTAAAGCACTAAGCACACGTTATTTAATAGCTCACATGCGTCAAAGGAATGAACTCTAACATAAGTTTAAAAAATCTCTAAACAACTTTCACCTTGAAAAAGCACATATAGAAAAGATAGATGAGTTTAAATATCACATACTTAGTAATTTATGGCAAAATGTGGTTACCTAATTCTTTCATTATTAATTGTTCTCTATAATATATTCTGTACACAATCTGATATTCTCGTATATATGAACAATGGCTTAGTTATATAAATTACTTTTGAATTCATTTCACAAAAAGAATGATGATAATTGATGGTTTATTAACAAAAACATGTTAACGTTAATAATATATATCTTAAAATCATCATATATATACAATATCATCTATATACATATCATCATCATCATCACTATTTTCTAACCGAGATGAAAGGCTAATTATCACAGGTTATCACGGGACTTCTAAATTTCTCTAATATACAACAACTTCTCGCAAAGATGTTCAAGACAAATGTGCCTCATAATAAATGTAACTAATTTAAACAAATAAATTTCATTATTAAAGCTTATAAAAGCATTTTAATCTTAAAGGGTAAGTTAGACGTGGTCTTAGTACGAACTATAGAAATCGAATATCTCATCATATAAGATTCACGCTACATTTCATATGGAAAAATAAAGAAACGCAATAGCACGAACGTATGAATAGAAAACTTGTAGTAAAATAAACAAATTGTAAGGAGAGTCTATACTTACAAAACTATGGTCGCTATTCCAAGACGTCAATCAGATCAAAGATCACCTGATCAACAGATTGCTACTCAAGTAAGCTACTATATTCCAGAATGTATCATTAGCCTCGAATCGTTGACACTAGTTTTAAAGTGAGATTTTTCAATAATCTGTAAGATTTTACTTTATTATGTGATTCAAGTTCACATTCCATTGCGTTTTTAATACAAAGAAAAGTTTTGACTTCATTACATTACTGTGTGATTATCAGATTAAATAAATAATTACTTTTTCATTTTAATAATATGTATTTATTTATAATGTCAAATCATTTTAATTATAAAAAAGTATTTAATAAACTTGCGTGACGTTTTCATAATAAAATTAAACTTAAATTTTTTTGTTAATATTTTTTAATATTTTTTTATTGGACTATTCGCACCAATTGACTTAGTCCCATGCTAAGTTGGTGAAGCTTGTGTTATGGGTACTAGGCAACGGATATACTCGTACATACATATTATAGATAGATAGACATATAAACCCATATTTAAACACCCAAGACCTAAGCACATCACCAAACGCTCATCACATCGATGTTTGTCTCAGCCGGGGATCGAACCCGGGACCCATGGATTCGCAGTCAGGGGTACTAACCACTAGACCAATGAGTCGTCAAAGTTAAAGTCAAATAAATATCCATTGTATGATATGTATTGCCGTTTACGAAACAAAACTAAAAACAATCGTAAAATCCGCGTGCCTGGCGTTATTTAATTGCGTAAACAGGATGTTCTAACCCAACTGAACAATATTTGTAGGTTTACGTAGTACACAAAAAATCACGACCAACTAAAAAATCTCAAATATAAACTATATCCTTTTCAGTTTATGTGTAGTGTGTCCCAACACCATGTTTGATTAATATAGACGCGAAATACGAATACTTTTTTACAAAGCGTTACCGTATACATGAAAAACTAATCAATGTGGAAATTCAAGTGAGAAATAGACGATATGCTGGATATAGGCATCGTTAACGAGCCCTGTTTGAATTGCGGTTGCTAGTGACAGGTATAAGGATGCTTCTTTGCATAACTTTCTTCCATACGCTATAAACTCTGAATACAAATTTAATTTCAATCAGTATTGAGCTGGGTATTTAACAAGTTCACAGGAATTAAAACGCAGTGTAAAAGACTTGATTAAAATTCGAATTCAATTAGGGAAAACCAATCAAGGGATGGAAATTAATCGGCGCTTAGAATCGAGAATTAAACTAAAATCAGTCATGATTAAGGTATAACTAAGTACAGTATAAACTCTCTATAACGTAAAAATAAGTAATAAATAACGTAAGTTACATTTATTTGGTTTAACACGAAACCCAAACATTCATTTTTTCTTTATAACGCAACAGCCACTCTTAATAACGAAGAAATATTGTCATATTTAGACATCAACAACATACATAAGTGTAATTGTTTTTATAATCAGCTTATGAAACTAACCTTTTGAGGTGCCGAAATTTCTAAGAAAGACACCTGAGGTCATAAACAGCCGTCTCGCCTTTTTTATTGTTGATTACATTAACACGTGTGCCATTATTCTTAGATAACATTGCCTGTAGGAAATTTTAGTCTCGTGTATTATAAGTCGTAAACAAAATTTAAAACTGTCAAGATGGCCAGTAAAAAGAAAGGGTTATGTTTTATATGTGTTTAGAATAATTTACCTATTGATAGTAATAAGATTAGACATTACTGTAGGTAAATGGTTAAATTTGGTATTTTTTTCTCTTCCCTCTGACGAAAAAATGCTCGATGCCTTGAAATTCGTTATAAAGAGTTTAGACTGTATATGCTACATCTCAATCATACTGTGTGTCTATCTAAACTGTCTGGCGGGATCAATATTTTAGATAAACTGAAAACGTTTTTTCAATGTTTTGTAGACAGCGTTCCATACGAAAAAGAATTTTACATACTCAATGGTACTGGTACAAATGTTATAGTTGTTTAGCATTTCTTTGCTATACGTTAAGAGAAATAGACCGCTTTGGTGTTTAGTACGCTGGACGAAGCTCATAATTACAGATGAAATTGTGACATTCAAAACATACGATGAAAATTATGACGAGGTAAACAGCCCTAAAACACATAATTATAGTTTGAATTTAATTAATATTACCTTTAGGTATGAATAAAAGATTACAGATACTGAAATAGTGAATTTATATCATTTGAAAGTTCCATTTCATAACCAAGATCCTCCTTATTGTAAATCTATATTCAAACTACGTATATACTAGGCACATACTCGTAGAGTGAGTGCATTGGATGATTGGACTAAATAAGAGCTATAAGGAAAATTGAATTCTACTCGATGCATGTAATATGTTTTTATATAATTCTTATCATAAGAATACTACTATATTTCTGAGTTTATTTTTGCGATATTAAAGAAATAGCAAGATCCACTATTGAAGATAACTAATTTTAAAATTCTTAGGAATTTATAGATCATTTCATTTCCAGTAGTTTCTTTTAAAATAAGATTTTTAAAGAAAAAAATGTAGTCTATACATTGGTAAGAGATTATTGAAATAATAATGTATTTCGAAATAGTTATGTCTATTAATCCAATCGTATGAGAAGTACCTAAGAATAATTTTGGCAATTAACATTGTCGTACTATTATATTTCTTGTTTTCAATTATAGTTGTTTTTTTTAAATATCTTCATAAGGTCTACAGAAATTGTAAATAAAATAGGTGACAGTGAATTTAAATAAATTTATAAAAATTAGGGCGGTCAGATTTACTCATCATTCTACACCTTTGAATACTGGCAATCAATGGAAATTTGAACATTTAACGTTCACGTTCATTAACTTCATGAAATTTAGTTTAGAACATTTATACAAAAGTTAAGTTTTGGCCAACAATAGTCATTTTAGAAAATTGCTTTTCAACATAATTGTAACTATTTGAGAATTGCTAACAAATGAGATTTACTTACAGAGAGGCGTTGTGTACCCGGAGCTGGGATTTCAGGACCCTCGATGTCTTTAGGGTTACGTGTTCGGATGAGTTTTGTGAATAAATTATGGCCATCGCGGCGAATATTTCCCCAATCCACCGATCGAAGAGCACTGAAACAAAGAGTTTATATAAAAAAAACTTATATGGACTATTTAAGCTTACTGTAAATGAAATTGGTTTGAACCGTATTATACATTAACTTTGATTTATTAATTATTGAAATAGTAATGGATAATTTTACTGATGGTCTGAGTAGCAATATTGATACTAATTGAGGCGAGCTAAATAATTAATTGAGTTGGTTCATATTAATTATTAATGTTATAAAAGCTTTTTCAATAAATTAACGATACAAAAAAACTTAGCTTTACAATGCTTGAACGTTTAAAGTAACAGATTGTATTAAGAAGTACAGTCCTTTAATAAAGTGATAATCAAATTATCTATAACAAAATCTTTTGATTTAATTCTGTCTTAGCCATATTTGTCGCCGCTTTTACAGGATATATTTTCTGTGCTCTCTTTCTAATCTCATTTTAAGAAAATATTAGAAAATGAAACAATACCATTATGGCAAAGGCATTGTTTTTATTGAAGGTTTTATCATATATTAATAATAATTAGTACAATATTTATATATTATACGCTACGGCAAATTAAGTTCTCATATTTCGGTACGCATTTCCAAATTTGTCCCCTACTCTGCAAACGTCAATTATCAAATTCACTTGCGAACTCTCACCAAGCACATATAATGCGTCTTCAGTAGCAGGGGATTTGGGTTTGGAAGGACATTCGAGTTGAGCGATATATCTGCCTACTGTACCAGTACTCGGGTGAAGCCTAGTAGCGTAAATGATTCATCCATGGATACATTTTTTTTTAAATATTCAATATTTTTCATATTAGTACTCGTTTTGTTTATTCTGTCAAGGCGTTATTACGCACATAAAGAATTTAGCCGTATAAGAAAATTAAGACATAAAGACAAAGGATGCATTAGTAATAATTCCTATACTAGTATGTGCATTGTTGTTTCCATATTTTGACAAAGATTATATAAACAGATATCCTAACGTTGTATTGATTCCACAATTAGTAGGAAATTGACAATGTAATATTATTACTAACGTCAACTAATTCTATTGGGCCAGCATACAAGTCACGTTCAGCTCATAATATTGTAAAGCTTAGATTTAACTAGTTTACTCTCGAAATAGTTGAACGAACTATAAATTATGGGCTTACAGTCTCGTGACTTTATATAGGACGAAGAACTAAATAACCAAACAATGTATGCTAAAAGATAAGGAATATGTCAAGTAAGCATTAAAAATTCTAAACAAAAAAATTTGGCCGTAGATGGGCCACAATTAATTTAAGGTTGTCATTTAAATTTAAGTAAAATTTAAACTTTTTGCAAATAAAAATTTGCTTTAATATTAAATCATAATACTCTTTGTTTCATAAAAATCCACATCCAATACATAAAAATATATACGGGGGTAACACTGAAAATGTTAAGAACTGGCAAGTTACAAACATTGCTAATGAAAACTATTTTGAATTTCAATTTTAGAACTCTTTGGTAACTTAATGTAGTATATTGCATTCATTTGTCATTTGTGTTGTGGATTGGCGGAAAATCTAAAACTCTTGTTACACGTGAAAATGAACCTAACACGAGAAAATGTTCGGTGAATGAACAAAGCTATGATAGGCTGCGATTAGCATTTCTTAATGAAGCCCCATCTCGTGCCACTATTTACAATTGGTTTAAAGAGTTTAAGCGTGGACGTAGCAATGTAGACGTGAGGGACGTCCTTTAACAGCCACTACTGAAGATAACATCGGTGCTGTGCGACGCATGATAGAGGAAGATAAGAGAGTGACCGATCAGCAGATACGGGCAAACCTAGGCATTGGTATGAGTCAAGTTCAAAAAATATTACACGAACATTTAGGCGTCAGGAATCTTTGCACCAGATGGATTCCCCATACTTTAACCGACGACCAGAAACACCTTCGCATGGACTGGTGTCGCCAAATGTTAGATAAGTTCAACGGCGGTGACTCAAATGCTGTATTTGACGTCGTCATTGTCACACGTGATGAAAGCTGGATATATTGCTACGAACCCAAAACTAAAGATAAAATTCGAGGTATTCGCTTTACGAGCCCTGAAGATGCCACTGACAATGCCATAGAAGAGACCTCTAAGGAAGAATATGTCCACTGCTTTTCTCAGTAGTGCCAACGAATGCGACGATACGAAACGGGTAGAGAATAACGGAGATTTCTTCGAAAAACAGTAAAAGTATTGGAATCTTTCTACATTAAGCCATTTTTCATTTTCTAAACATTTTCAGTGTTACCTACGCTGCTACGTAAAATGTGCTTACTTGTTCCTTATTTAGTCTGACTTTTACCGTTAACTTCCATCATTAACTATCAAAGTTAATAATGCTAAGGAAACTGTTATTCCAAATGCAATGCACTCAATACTTGTGCTAACGTATGAACATTGTTTGAGCAAGAAAGTTGCAACAGAGCACTCGTGGTTGTGTAATAGAGAAAATATATTGAAAATTCACTTGAAACCCCGCTTAATGGTATGTCTGTGGCTGCCCACGCTACGCTAGTCAACCGCGTCGGGTTGTTTGTTATGAATATTGAGTTATTAAAATAAATTAACAACCATGTTTTGATTGCTTCTTTGTTGTCTCACTATTTACTTTATTATAACATTACATTACTAATTTATAATATCTATTACTGTGCTATAATAACAGTTTTTCTCAAAAGGATATTGATAATTCTAATTTAAAAATCTTTACGGTAATCTCAAGGATTTGATTGATACCTATCTGATACCTATGATTATTAACTATTTAAACAACCTTTTGAAATCAAGATATGAACTCTGAAATTCGGATGCATTCCTGACACAGTCCTGTATGATCCATCGATTTGAATAATGTTACTAATATTTGTTTGTATATCTTTTAAAGATTTCGTTCAGATTAATTTAACCAGTACAATGGAATAAGAAAGGATTTCCTGATATAACTGGGAACACAATACTCTTGTTTGCCTGCATGGTCATATTATATGTCTACAACACAAATCCTGTTAGCTTGGATAGTTCAAATAAATAATATGGTACCGGGATCATCAGCAAGGTTTTTGTTTTCGACTCAAAATTGGAGAAGGCCTTTGTAAAGGGATAAACTATCAGTCAAGCAACCATATATATTGTTACGGAAAAACATTTTGCATGTGTTATTTCGGCTACTTGAGAGGTACTTAACTCCAAAGCGCGACTCACATTAGAGGGGCAATACTATGCACTTTAAATTTAGGAATCTATTTAAAAACATCCAATCCAATACGTATGTTATGTAATCATCACGCTAAGTATCGACACTATATTAATATTATAAATAAATGCTATTACAGATAGATAGATATCTACACTATTCGTTTTTGATGTACTGTTAATAAAGCTTAATTTAAATAAATAAAGCTGCATTTCAAACACCAAAATAAGATAATTGGTAAGAGTAATTACAAATTTATTGGTTTTCGAAAGTTTCAACCGCTAGCGATTACACAATTATTTGCATAATATCAGTAAGAAAAAATTTGTATAATAAAATGTTAATAATAAATAGTAATTGAATATAATTAAATGACTTTCATATTATAAAAAAAAAATATTTGTAATACTGGTAAAGCTGGCTTCGTTTTGTAAACTAAACTTTTTGAAGTTATACTTCTGTAGGCGCGTTATGAAAAATTGATGAGAGTGAGATTTTACGATGCGCGCGCACCGTGACACAAAATTAACAGAATGAAGTTGCCCACGGAAGATGCTACGGCATTGGACATAATTTAAAAACCACATTCGAATAATAATAGAATTTATGTACGCTTAATGTAAGAGAATAATAATAAATATTTATTTATTTAACTTTTCAAATGTAAACTGAACTTTATTGACTATAATGACTCCTTTTCCAGTCTTTGATTATTTAATTGTAATAGAGAAGTATAACAATATATAGTACGCACCCTTTTTTTAATATACAAAACATTCGCTATTTTGTTGTTGCGTGTAAGTTGCGTGAAATCGAGAGTTTCTTGATTCGATGCCCGGCAAATAAAGGTTTGGACAATTAATGTAATTTGATATAGTACGTTCTTAAACGAAAATAATGACGAATAGAGAAACTATTATGATGCAAATAGGAGGAGATGCTATCGAATGTGTAGATCATTACGTATATTTAGGGCAAATAATGTCATTTAATGACCAAATAGATCTTGAGATAGAAAGAGAGCAAGACACCTGGAAGAAATTTTTGTCCCTTAAGGAAGTACCTAAAAGTAAAGACTTCCCAATGGTAGCTAAGAAAAAGGTGTTCAACATATGTATCCTACCATGTATTACATACGGCTGCCAGACTTGGGCATTATCTCAGAAACATCTTCTAAAGTTGAGAATGCCAAAGAGGAATGGAAAGAAGCATGGTTAGTGTAAAACTGAGACATCGAAAAAGAGCAGAAGAGATAAGATCAGCGACCAAAGTAGAAGACATTATAAAGAAAATAAGGCAAATGAAATGGCGCTGGACCGGGCACATGACAAGAGATAGCAGGTTGAAATGGACAAAAATAGTTACAGAATGGCAACCACGCAATGGAAAAAAGACAAGAGGAAGACAGAGCAAGAGATGGGCAGACGATATAAAGAGAATATGAGGCACAACTTGGACAAGAAGAGCTAACATCAGAAAATAATGGAAATACCTGGAAGAGGCCTATGTGTCACAGGACACGCTGACTACCTAAAACGTGTCAAGTGACGTATTAGATTAAGTTTTATTTATGTATTAGAATTAAGTTTTTTTTTTAATGTAACTTAAATAAGTGTTATTATATTGTACTGGGTGTCAGAAATAAAGGCTTAATAATAATAATAATATAGTACGTTATTTCGTAAGGTTGTATCAAGATTCAAATAGATAACAAAAACCGTTGCATTTATAGAAAAGTAGAACAAACGATCAAAAAATAAAGCGGAATTACTAAAATGGCAGCATTAATTAGGGAAGCCCTAAATGCAGGTGAATTTATATGTGTTTAAGGTTTTAATATACGGGACAGTTTTCATTTTATTAAAGCAGAATTTATAGGTATTAAGTTAATTCTAGAAGCGTAGATATATTTTAATAGTATTTTCTTGTCATAAAACCGTTGAAAAAAGACGCTAGTTTGAAAAATACAACTTTTCACGTGAGTTTATTAAATTCAATAAAATGGTCTGTATTAATGCGGTTAAGCGAAGTGCAAGGCTATTCAAATTCTTGCAAATATCTGTCGATATCTATTAACATCTTATTATCATCTTCTATCAAATTTTGCGACGGTTATTCTGTATTAAGAATTTTTCTGAAATTTTTAAAACAAATTACGTGTCTTAGTTTAATTTACCTAAATTGCAGAAGAGAATAAGAAGTCTATACATATTAAGTAAAGCATGTTAATTGCCTTAAAAGCAATCTCTTTTAGCCAACCAGTTGTATCACTCGCATTTTCTCTCGGCGGAGATAACGTGTGGGAAATTAAAACAAACGGGACCAACAAGTAATTTTAAATATTTTGCCGTTCTATTTTAAGGTTCCCATACAATCTCACATCACCTGGTCACCACAAACCCAAACAGTTTTTTATATGTTATCCCGCAACCGGTTTCAGATGAGATTGTTTTATTAAAAATCTTTCTGTCTGGGTAAAACTTTTTCCTTACAGTACGAGATTGCGTCAATTGGTTCCTTAAAAAAAAGTTCCTTCTGAGACTCAAGCGCTTAGCAATGCTATATTGAGTAACAAAGGCTTTATTTAAAAACGATTAAAAATATCAGGTCCGTGAAAAACAGTGACAGACCAGTGTTAAACATGTTTATTTAGTTTAACATTAAACATACAATTTAATTACTGAACATCTATTTAATCTTGCCGAACAATACCATGGATATATTGAGTTTCTAATGAAATTTTGAAACAAATTGCAACCAACAATCAGATTATTTTATGACGTAGTCATGTTTAACGTACCTACAGGAAGAAGTTTTAATAGTGTTAACTATACTACAGGATTTATCACTAAAACCTTTTGGTTTACTTTTGATTAATTGGAAATAAAAACTACTTTACAAAGACAATTAAAGAAATGATCATACAAAAATAAATATAAATAAATTCTGTACTTTAATAGGTATCGCTAGACAGCATAAAACATCACCGTTTGTCATATTTAGCCATAATCAATATCTAGTAGGTAGATGGTGCCAAACATAAATTTATAGCAAACAAATTCTAGAATCAGAGGGAAGGGAAAAGAGGAGTTGACGTATCTATAGTAACGTGTGTGTCGACCATTCATCCACACCCGAATAGTCAAGACTTGGACTGATTTTTTAAATATGTTATTTCCACGTATTTATTTATAAATAATTTAAATATAAATAATACCAATCAAAGATCTAAATATCTACAGAATGTAATCCCTTAAATTTTCTATCTTAGCATTAACAGGGAATAATTAATTAGACATATACAATAGGGAAAACATAGATAGATAAATAATAAAACATAATATTTGGTAATCCATCCGTTACGTTGGCGTTAGTGCGTGGGACGGATTAATTATTAAAGCGATATATCGCGACAGTTTTCTTAACATTTCGAATTATGTATTAGGTAATCTATTCTTATTTTGATACAGCCAAACGTCAAACATTTTTATAAGGGCCAGTTACAGCATTCCCATAGCCATGCTTGTCAATTTACTTAAATTGACTTTGATATACAGCCGGTTTAAATCCTGTTAGCTATGCAATTCGTATTTTACATCTGAAACACGATGCAAAATTGAGTAGTCAATTTACCTGTTGCATTCAGTGACACTTCTGAAAGGACTGTTCATGACGTCAATTTAAATGTGAGTTCGACTCACAGGCGATATTGACAAATTGTATAGTCTATGTTTCTACTACGCGTAGCTTAGAATCTAGTGTTTGGAAAAAAAAGGCTGCTATAATAACAGTCTTTACCGTTACATTTAAAGTACTCTTTCTTTTGTTTCTGGTGAATTGTATTTACGCTGTGATGAAAAAAGACAGGGAAATTATTTATAAATATGTGAGTTAAAACTATGTGAAGGTTTTTATATATCTATATAATGGAAACAGATGCATTTAATGTAAAATGTAAACACAAATGACAAAACATCGATACATATATCATGAGAATATTGCATTTAAAACTCAGAAAGATGTCTACACAATGCATATAAACTATGCCCTTAAATTAGCTATATTGAAAGACCGGAATATAACAATAGTATCAGGTTCTCCAGAGCCTAAGCTTTTGAATAATATACAAAACGTTATTGGAAAAATGTAACAAAGACTAGATATTTATTAGTTACGAGATCGAAATGGTGATCTGATATAAATCTTTGAAAGCTCAGTCGTAACTTGTAACTCAGTCTTGTAATAAAATGCGATGTGAATCCATATTAATAACTAGCTGTGCTCTACGGTTCCATCCGCATTAATTCGTAGCCCGGTGTTCGATAGCCCAAAGCTTTTTTCGATAAATATACTTTTACACAAGCTACTTTTTCGCTTACAAATTCTCATAGACAGCTACTGTAAAAATTTCAGCGTTCAGAATCGTACGCGTAGTTTTGCTTTGACCGCGTGTGGAAGCGAGCATGTCTGCGGGTTTCAGAAAAATGGAAAAGGAGCAATATCGGTCGGTAATTCGATTCTTGTTTTTGGAAGATAAATCGCGTAGCAAAATTAAACAGTGCTTGGAGGCAGTGTACAGTCACCGTACACTTCTCCATCGACGGCGTAAGTAAAAAATTGGTCAAAACGAGTTTCAACTTGGTCGCACGTCGGTTATTAATGATACACGCCCAGATGCCCCGAAAACGGCTGCCACGGAGGATGTCGATAATCCACGATCTCATATTGGCAGACCGCCGATTGAAGGTGCGCGAGATAGCTAAGACAGAAGGTATCTTAAAAGACCGCGTGGGTCCATATCCTGCACAAAGTATTGGGCATGAGAAAGCTGTCGGTGCGATGGGTGCCGCGTTTGCTTACTCCGGATAACAAACGCAGCCGCGACAACGCAAACGAGACCACTTCAGAGTAGTATTTGACGATGATCAAGCTCAATCCGAAGAAGTTTCTGCGTCGATTCGTGACCGTGGACAAAACGTGGATACACCAGAGACCAAGGAACAGTCGAAACACCCGGACCGGTTGGACCCGTTGATCTATTTCCAATAGTTTCCACAGCTAACGCGATTTAGGAATTTTTATTGGTTTTTTTCATACCTTTGGTTACACTATCGTCATTTTATACAGAATTCTAACTTTTTGAAAATATTATATAGCATCAGGGTTAACATAGGGTTCTAATGGTGGAAGAATTTTTCACATCAGTCCTCTAGTTTTGGAGCCTGTTCACTGTAAACAAGTAGACAAACAATCAAATCTTACCTTTTTATAATATTTACTATATAGTATTTCTTAAGAAACAGCTTGTATCGTCTCCATGTCTTTTAATAAGTTCATTCATAAAAACCAGATCATGCAACATAACATTGCCACAATTGTTTTTAGAATCAACGCTATATCGAAAGGTTGTAGACCTACAGTAAATGACACACATGACATAACACACAACACAACATATTATATCTTAGTGCCAGAAAATTTACGACATTTCCCAAGCACAGTTTAGTTTACATTTATGCAGATGTGGATTCCAAATGATAAATAAAAAGGTGTCTATCATTTTTATTTTGTATAAATAAATTGCATCCTTTTTTATTGGTGAATCGATCAGCATGAAACAGATCTATATTATAACTAAAGTTTTTAAATAAAATGCCCATGCGCGCTTACGCTGACGGGCGGCGCGTTCATATTTAATGTTGACATCTTAGCACCGCTCAGATTCAGGGTCAGATTGTCATGTTCAATAGCATGTCGAAAATAGAGATAAAAGAAAATGTATCAAATTTTGGCAAATATAAAATTCCCTAGGCCGTAATTAAAGTCTGTAATCAACAGGTGGTTAAGAATGAATGGCTGACAGCGTAATGTTGACACTCAAGTAGCCTCTTCGCTTTACATGGAGCAAGTACGCGTTCATTCTCTCCATTATTCAATTTAATATGACAAAAGCTACGACAATTGTTAACTATGAAAATTTCCAGATAGCAAAAGTTCATATGAAACCGTTGAGTGTTTAATTGTTCATTAGACTCAGTTCGAAATAATTTTAGTTTGGTATTACAGCGCAGTAATATCAAAGTTTCATAAAAGAGGAAGTCATGAAGTCGAATGATTGAATAATTTCCTTTCTTTGTAGTTACTTATTTAGCTTTATTTTATTGGTTCAACGAAACGAAACAAATTACTACTAACTCGAAAAAAATTGATATAAAGGGTTTTTAATATTTAAATATGGTAAATTTATTCAAATTTAATTAGATTTTTAGAGCTGCATTCGTGCGATTATATTAGAGTGTCACAAAGCGCGGGTTACACAAAAGAACTGCCTAAATATATGCCTAATTAAAAAATATATGCTTCAAAATACCATTTTCAATGACACAATATGTTTTTACGCCCAGCAGTGGCCATCGACAGGCTGAAACTAACGATATATTTTACAAATGCAAAGTTGAAAAATTATAATTTTTAATAAATAAAATAATATTTAGTTTAATTGATTTCCATATATCTTACATAATCATTATTCACTTATTATTAAATCGATCTAGGTAGCATTAAAATTAAAATTCCGCTTCTCATTTCAATTAAATAAAAATTAGGATGCATTTTTTATGGTCTCATTGAAGTACCTACAACTGATTTAATGAAGAACAAAATTTAAAATCTGTAAGTTGTTCCAAGAAATAATAATCCAATGATTACATTAATATCTATATAAATGTCTATGTACATAATATACAGTTATTTGCACTTCACTTCGTATAGTGAAAATTTTTATTTAAATCCATCAGCGGAAAAGCTCAATAACTCAGAAATAATTATGCAGGAACGGTATGTTTCAAACAAAGTGCAGCTCTTTTAACCTTCTCTACGCCATTTGACACTCGCATTTTTACTGCGCAATATTGTTGTTTGTATTGTACGAGTGTAAATACGATATTTATTTGAATAGCGAACAGTGATTTTCTCTTTATAACTTATTATTCAGAAAATATAAAGACGATTATTAAATTTACATTTTATATCACGTGTATCTTATGTTATATGCGATTCCAAGTAGTTGAATTTAATTAATAACTAAGTCATTATAAAAATATCAGTCTTGGAATTAATATATATATTATATAATAGTCTTGGTATTTCTTATTTTGATTCCAACATACGCTTTTTTAATATTTATATTATAGTGTAACTGTTATAAATATGTATTTTAATTACAAAATAATTTTAATTTAAATAACATAGTATAGCATAGATAATATATTTGATAATTTCTTGATATTACTATATTATTCAGTCACCTAGGCAGTAATTCGATCATAATGTTCCATTGCTTTTGATTTAAATTGCAAATGAAGGCAAACACCATTCGCTTACATAATATGCAAAATATGTAAGGAGCATAAGAAAATTTAAATTAAAACATTTATGTATACACATTATGCGTTACTTTAAAACATCCAATGGCGCTACAACCTTTTAAGTCTGGCCCTCAGATGGTTGTATATGTTTGATGATTTAGAAATGGCACAAAAGTGCCTGTCGACTTTTGGGTCTATGCCATGCCGGCTTCCTCACGATTTTTTCCTTCACCGTTCATAAACTGAAAGTCCATTTGTGCACGATCGGAATTTGAACTAACGATGTCAGGGATGAGAGTCGCGCGCTGAAGCCACTACCCACTCAAATATAAGGTAGCCATTATTTATAATTCCCACGACGATATTATTTAATGGCTAAATAATAATAATAATATTAATATTTGTTTTATGGTTCCCTCGCAAGATTTGTCAAGTTTCACTATCTCTACATATGTCTCCGAATTCCAGTGATTATAATGTGTTTTACTGTTTCTGTATGACACACAAGACACAGAACAGGGAGCGGTGGAGGTTTCGAAGACCAGGACATATTCGCAGAGCTAGCAGATTGAGTCTGATCAGCTTTTGCAAAACAATGATCACAGGATACAGAAATATACACTATTTTGTTCCGTTTTCAAACTCCGTCTTGGCAGATGAGTTATAAAAAAAATATTTAGTCCCGTAACGTGAAGCATGCATGTACGCGCATTTTTATGTGCGTCTGTCGCATATCATAAATCGTTATATTCTTATCTTAACACAGACGAAGTCGCAAGCATCAGATAATATATAAGAATAAAAGTAAACCAGGCCGTAACCAGCACCATTTCAGTTTTCCCATTAATATTATATTTCATTTAGTTATAAGAAAGTATCGAGAAGCACTATATCTACGTCAAATAAATGCGAAGTTCAACCAATTCTCTCTCAGAGTGGGCGTATTCATTATTCATCTAAATATTTTATAGAAAACAAAGATTTCAAATTTATATGTAAAAACCGCTTTTAAAATGAAAAATAGCTTTATCCAAGACTTCAATTATTTCTCGACGTTCCGATCCTAATGGAAACGTTCGTTTAAACAATCCATGAAACAAGAATAGAGAAAACTCACATACAGAGAATTCAATGTTGTTATTACAAAAAACTTATCGGGTTGTTAGTTCCATTAAAATTTTGTCTGATTCTGTTTTATTAACAAGTCATAATGGCGGACGTATTATCCTAAACTCTGGAGGGGTTGAGCTTAGAGACCTCCTGTAGAACAATTTTTTGCAGCTGATGACCTCATCTATCCCCTTTTTGCGTTTGATCCAAAGCTTTTTGACCATCCTGTATATACAAATTGAATTTGTGCTTTCAATGAGGTTAAATCTTGGGTTGTAATTCATTTTAAGAACCTATTTGACTATTCCGTGCTTGCATGCAGACTACGAAAAATATTTGTTTCGTGTACCTGCGCTTGATTTGAATTATAGACTTAGACATATCATTTATTACAAATAAAATAAACAATATATTGCTATTTTAATCAGAATTATAACACCACAATAGATTTCTGAAGTGCTAATTTTTTAATCCTTATTTTCTGAAATTTAAATCTTTAATATTACATCATACAATTATATATTCTTTGACATACTTAATTTGTAGCTCTTGCTCTCTATGGCTCTTTAATTAAGAATATAATCGTTCCTATTATTAGGTTTTAACATACAGTAGTATAAAAATATGCATGATTAATAAATATGTATCCACACTGAATATGAAATGTATAAGGGGGAAAATGGAGCATTGATAATGTGCAAAAACATTCCTTTTAGAAATACGTGTTGCTCGGTGAAGCAACAAAGTACCGATGCACAAAAGCATTTTATCAATTTCCCGAACCAATACAACACGATATTATTTGACTTTTAGAATTCAGTTTGTAAGACGTAAAAGTACAAATTTAACTAATAAATTTAAGTAAATTATTGTTTATTTATTAAAGCAGATAGTCAATAATAATATTTTTATTGCCAATTTAATAATTTACATTGAAATATTTGCATTGAAATACTTAGCAGTTAATTGTATATTATAAAAATATAATATAAAATTTCGCGTTAAATAAGTTTAATTTAAATTTCCAGTACTCGCATGGACCAAGAACAATAGTATTTTAAATTGAAATATAAATCGATTTTTATTTAAAAATGAATCATAACAGGTATAAATATTTTGTTGTTACTATTACCGGCTGAAAATTATGGAAATAAAATGAGTAACGGCATGACCTCCATTCTTCAAACACAACCTCCTTTACGTTCGTGACAGGAATAATAATTCAACGCAATTACAACATGCAAATAAAATAATATATTTATCTTAACACTCTTGCGTCGTACAGAATACATGTCGTATACTCAAGTGAATACTTTTTTTAACTGAACAGCAAAGTTTAGGTACTATGTATTTGAATCACAAGTTTCCTTTTGCTTAAAATGTTTAATGTAC